TGTTTTGTCCCCCAAGCACCAGGCATATTATATACTGTCTCTGGCCTGACCTGTCCTTGTTTTGTCCCCCAAGCACCAGGCATATATATACTGTCTCTGGCCTGACCTGTCCTTGTTTTTGTCCCCAAACACCAGGCATATTATATACTGTCTCTGGCTGACCTGACACATGTAGCATCCCCAAGCACCAGGCATATTATATACTGTCTCTGGCCTGACCTGTCCTTGTTTGTCCCCAAGCACCAGGCATATTATATACTGTCTCTGGCCTGACCTGTCCTTGTTTTTATCAGGGAATGACATCCATTTGGATAAAACTTCCATCTAGGAGACCATCGATAACCTTATCTTCTGTGAGGTGAAACACTTGATGGAGAACTGGACGCATCAGCCATCTGGAAGCAGTAGTTGTAAATACAAGAGGAATATTTATGAACACAGCGATGCCGATCATGAAGAAATCTTAGACAACAAGGATATTTGAGGATTCCGTGAGATATGTTTATGTATCTTCTTACTGTTTTTTTAAAAAATATATCTGTGTATAGATTCTGGGGCAGTTTCTAGTATCCCCAGTATTCCATGCTTGTCTCCCCATGGCAGAGGAACCACGAACAGAAAAGGTTTGCAGCGATCATGTTTTGCTGCAAGAGCCAAGTTAGAAATGAGGTTTGATATGCGTGTCCTATTACTTGTTACCCCTGTGAAATGTCTTAGTCATGATATGGCTGAAATACTGCCGATGTGACTATAAATGTTAACTCACTCACTCACTCAGCGAAATATCTTGTTCATGCTATCCACCACTAGTTGACCACTGTGAAAAATGTTTACATACACCAGTTGAATTAATGTTTAAGAAATATTACTTAGCTGATATGTAAATGGAAATACAATAACAGTCTTTGAAATGTACTGAGGATGAATGACTTGAATATTAAAGGTGCTGATATTAGCCAGTACAGCAACTCTCAGGCTGACTGTCACTTGACTGATTGAAGCATGTCAGATATTATCAAGGTGTATGCAAAACTACAGATGTGCATGTTCAGCAGTTCTCCAGTCCCATTTAAATCTTCGTGCTTGCTACTTCTACAGAACATCAGACATCCCATTGCAGGTTATGTACTCTATAAAAAATAATTTGACAGAATTCTTGATTCAAAATCTAAAGAGTGAACAAAAATGATCTGTGAAATGTGTACTGCATGGCAAGCAGCATTGCAGGGCAGTACTCCTATCAGGCTATGGAAAGTCTCTCCCGTTTCAAAAGTTTATCCAGTTGAAGCAAAATATACAATGATACGATTGAATCAGTCCTACAGATGGTAACTGTAGAGGTTCCAGGATTTGAAAGTTCTGACTCTGACTTTTGCAATCAAAGCTTGTATCTGTTCTGGGATGTCCTCAGATCTATGTGTTTTGGGAGCGAGGTCTGATTTTACTGAGATTGGAATTCTGAAGAAAGATATTTGTATGTTCCATAATTCTCCTCAGTCTCTGTGTATCAGAAGCAAGATGTGACTTTGTGATTGCATATCTGTCAAAGGTATAGTGAGATGGGACTATCTACTATTGATATACTACTCAGACTCTGGTATACCATAGACTGGACTGACAATGTCTAATCCCCTTTTAATCCTACATATTACCCCCTGACTCTGGTTTCAAGTACAACAGAAACTAAGAGTACCACACAGCACATTGAATGTTTGTGGCTTCTGTTGCTCAAATTTACCTACCGGTACACTTTTGAATGTTTGCATTACCAACAGGAATGCAACCCGAATGGTTTCTGTTTTCTAAGTTAGTCACTGACAAGCATGACATATAACATTGTTCTGAGGACAGAAAAAAGAGCTTGCTGGACGTTGGAGGTTAGTGTCATTCACTGCTTATATGGCACATAGTCCAAAAGGTCCAGAGTATTGAATGTATGTAACAGACGTAAGGAGTGACCACTTGATGTCCAGGGGAACTTGTTATGTTTGAGACAGGAGTTGTATGGTGAAAAGGTGATGATGTCACCTTCCAGAATATTTCAGTCATATTGCAGCATGCTGCAAGTGTGTGTGTAGTAGTGTGGACTAATTTGCTAGACACCGAGACACCATGCTGGATACCCAGGCACATCATACTCTCTCTGAGCTGACCTGTCCTTGTTTTGTCAGCCAAGCACCAGCCATGGTAACAACAAGTACAGTATTTTGACATCATTTATAGTAGCCACAAAATTTTCACATTTGTTATGAATTGCAACTGAGGTACAATTTCATCCTCAATTCTTACAGTTCAATATCCCACATTGTATCAAATTCTTACAGTTCAATATCACGCAAGGTATCATGTTCCACGCAGCCTCACAGCCTGATGCACAGTATGGTAAATCAATACCTTGTCCACATAACTGTATGTTGTCTCAGGTGGTCATATTGTGCAGGTGCTTGTTACACCTCCAACTCAGACCTGCGTCATCGACTATACTGTACTGAATCTTCCTCAGCTTCCACACTTACTGAATCTCCATGCCATTCTGATATATATACACTGCACCTATATTGGCCTCATTAATTATGTTTAGAATCCTATTTGAATGTCCAGTCAGAGCCACAATAAATTAATTATCACCTTTGTTTAGTGAGCTGGGTGTTGAAGAAAAGATCTGATAATGAATTGATTATGGCCTTTTGACCAACAAAAACATTTGATTACCATGATATCTGTTAGAGACAATCTGCTGGACTGACATACTCAAAGCAATATCAGTGATCAACTGTTGCAGGTATGTAATTCACAATATATTGGTATCACCAAATATTTCTGAATTTTTAGAAAACTGGAAATTATACAAAAATCATCATTTCAGAGAAATCATATTTTTTTCTCCTAATATGTGGCGTAAAGGGCTCCTTGCTTTGAATCCTACATAAATATGTTTGTGAAAACAAGCCTTGACATACAGATACACAAGTAGTTGTAGAAAACAAGCCTTGACATACAGATACACAAGTAGTTGTTGAAAACAAGCCTTGACATATAGATACACAAGAAGTTGTTGAAAACAAGCCTTGACATATAGATACACAAGAAGTTGTTGAAAACAAGCCTTGACATACAGATACACAAGTAGTTGTTGAAAACAAGCCTTGACATACAGATACACAAGTAGTTGTTGAAAACAAGCCTTGACATACACACAAGAAGTTGTTGAAAACAGTTCCTGACATATAGATACATAAGTAGTTGAAAACAAGCCTTGACATACAGATACACAAGTAGTTGTTGAAAACAAGCCTTGACATATAGATACACAAGAAGTTGTTGAAAACAAGCCTTGACATATAGATACATAAGTAGTTGTTGAAAACAAGCCTTGACATACAGATACACAAGTAGTTGTAGAAAACAAGCCCTTGACATACAGATGCACAAGTAGTTGTGAAGAAAATAAGCCTTGACATACAGATACACAAGTAGTTGTAGAAAACAAGCCTTGACATACAGATACACAAGTAGTTGTTGAAAACAAGCCTTGACATATAGATACACAAGAAGTTGTTGAAAACAAGCCTTGACATACAGATACACAAGTAGTTGTTGAAAACAAGCCTTGACATACAGATACACAAGTAGTTGTTGAAAACAAGCCTTGACATACAGATACACAAGTAGTTGTTGAAAACAAGCCTTGACATACAGATACACAAGTAGTTGTTGAAAACAAGCCTTGACATACAGATACACAAGTAGTTGTTGAAAACAAGCCTTGACATACAGATACACAAGTAGTTGTTGAAAACAAGCCTTGACATACAGATACACAAGTAGTTGTTGAAAACAAGCCTTGACATACAGATACACAAGTAGTTGTTGAAAACAAGCCTTGACATACAGATACACAAGTAGTTGTTGAAAACAAGCCTTGACATACAGATACACAAGTAGTTGTAGAGACCACAACATGCCGACCCAGACGTTGTGAGGCTGTTGACACAGTGTGTTCCTGACATATGACCCACATAGTTGGGATGAGAAGGACTGTCTTCAGTTGTCAGTCAGCGTTGATTGATGTGTACACCAGCAGTGTGTGTTGTGTGGAGGAGGGGCAGATTATTCCATTTGCACACAATGAGGTAATATTATACATGTGAGGCTTGTGATAGCCCATAATGTTTGATGTGTCACCACGTGTTGGCCATGTCACGTCCTATGCAATTATTAATTGTTACCATACTGAAAATCTCATGGAGGTAACAAGATAGATGTAGCATTTCACTAAAGTGATTCTTTGCTACTTGTAATGCTAAATTTGACCGTTTCATGAGTTGATAGTTCATGAAGACTGCTCAACCTTCAGTAAGAGGTCATGAGGTATACAAACTCACATTGTGAAATCCTGCACACTGCCCTAGTGACTCATGTAACTCTCGGTACAAGTGTACCTAATGCTAGTCTGTGGGGCAGTTGGGTAGCCTAGTGGTTAAAGCGTTCGCTCGTCAAGACCCAGGTTCGATTCCAAACATGGGTACAATGTGTGAAGCTCATTTCTGGTGTCCCACACCGTGATATTCCTGGAATATTGAAAGCGGTATAAAACTGAACTCACTCTCACTCACTCACTCACTCACTCACTCACTCACTCACTGTTGTGATGCAGCAGTGTTTCATGACACTGTTGTGTTGCTGATGTTGGCTTGTGTTCTGTTTCAGTGTCAGTAGTAAAGATATAACATTACTGAAGAGATGCTCTCAGATAGACCAATAATTTCTGAAGCTCTGCTGATAATATACTGAGGTTCCTGTAGAAGTACAGGTTAAGAGTCAATGTTATTTTGGACATTCCCATACCTTCATTAAGTTACATTTCACAATCACTTTCTTTGAACTAATTTATTGCCAATCAGGAATATGTACCCAAATATGCATGTATATTTTGTATAACACTTAGCAACAAGATATTGTTAGAATGTTCTTGATGTCATTTAAACTATATTTTGCAGGTAATCCTCGAGGACAATGAAGCTACCATTAAGTACAGGCCATCTGAGACAAGCCCCCAATTTTTGGTAGAAAAGATAGACAACATGGGCTTTGAGGCCAAGGTCAAGGACATTCAGGGTTCAGCATATTCAAGGGGAGATAACTCATCTGAAGCTGTCATTGATATTGTTGGGATGACCTGCATGTCATGTGTCCGTACGATTGAAAACAACATCAGCAAACTTGATGGCATCTACCATATTTCTGTCTCATTGGAGAAAAATTGCGCTGAAGTCACCTTTGATGCCCAGAAACTGAATGCCTCAAAGATCAGTAGTGAGATTGATGAAATGGGCTTCGAAGCTAAAGTGCGACACAGCAGCTCCAGAAACCTGGCAACAAGGATTCATGTGGAGGGAATGACCTGCCAGTCATGTGTCCGCCATATTGAATCCCACATTGGTCAAAAGTCAGGAGTCATTGAAATCCGAGTGTCACTTGCAGACAAAGAAGCCTTCATCATCTATGACCCAAAAGGTACAAACCCTGATAAGCTTCGTGATGAAATTGATGAAATGGGATTTGAAGCCTCCCTTCCCCCTGCTGATATTGTGGATGAATTTGAGGCCATTGCCTCCAGGAAGCCGTCTGGAGAAGCCGAGTGTCTCATTGATATAGACGGCATGACGTGTGGCTCATGTGTGAAAAATATTGAATCTAACATTTCCAGCAAGAGAGGCATCAAAGATATTAAGGTATCACTGCAGAACAAGAACGGGGTTGTAAAGTACGATCCTTCAGTAACAGCCCCAGGAAACATCGCAGATATGATTGATGACATGGGATTCGGGTGCCTCAGTTGCTGAAGGTGGTGGAGGTTCAGAAGGACTGGCAACTGTACTGATCAACATCCGAGGCATGACATGCAATTCATGTGTGAAGACCATCGAAGGAAAGATGGCTGAGCATCCAGGGGTTAAGAATGTCAAGGTTTCCCTGGCCAATCAGGAAGGGGTGTTTGTCTACTATATGAACAAGGTGACTCCAGCCATGCTGTGTGAAGCTGTGGAAGATATGGGCTTTGAAGCAACAACAGCAGGTATGTTTTCCATGATGCTCGCTTCGGCTGTAACCAGACTGGCATGGTACATGTACTGGTTGTAAAGTTGGGATTTCATACATGATACACACTTGGGCTGTAACCAGACTGACATGGTACATGTACTGGTTGTAAAGTTGGGATTTGATACATGATACACACTTGGGCTGTAGCCAGACTGACATGGTACATGTACTGGTTGTAAAGTTGGGATTAGATACATGATACACACTATGGCTGTAACCAGACTGACATGGTACATGTACTGGTTGTAAAGTTGGGATTTGATACATGATACACACTATGGCTGTAACCAGACTGACATGGTACATGTATTGGTTGTAAAGTTGGGATTTGATACATGATACACACTTGGGCTGTAAGCAGACTGACATGGTACATGTACTGGTTGTAAAGTTGGGATTTGATACATGATACACACTTGGGCTGTAACCAGACTGACATGGTGCATGTACTGGTTGTGAAGTTGGGATTTGATACATGATACACACTTGGGCTGTAACCATACTGACATGGTACATGTACTGGTTGTAAAGTTGGGATTTGATACATGATACACACTATGGCTGTAACCAGACTGACATGGTACATGTATTGGTTGTAAAGTTGGGATTTGATACATGATACACACTATGGCTGTAAGCAGACTGACATGGTACATGTACTGGTTGTAAAGTTGGGATTTGATACATGATACACACACTTGGGCTGTAACCAGACTGACATGGTACATGTACTGGTTGTAAAGTTGGGATTTGATACATGATACACACACTTGGGCTGTAACCAGACTGACATGGTACATGTACTGGTTGTAAAGTTGGGATTTGATACATGATACACACTTGGGCTGTAGCCAGACTGACATGGTACATGTACTGGTTGTAAAGTTGGGATTAGATACATGATACACACTATGGCTGTAACCAGACTGACATGGTACATGTACTGGTTGTAAAGTTGGGATTTGATACATGATACACACTATGGCTGTAACCAGACTGACATGGTACATGTATTGGTTGTAATGTTGGGATTTGATACATGATACACACTATGGCTGTAAGCAGACTGACATGGTACATGTACTGGTTGTAAAGTTGGGATTTGATACATGATACACACTTGGGCTGTAACCAGACTGACATGGTGCATGTACTGGTTGTGAAGTTGGGATTTGATACATGATACACACTATGGCTGTAACCATACTGACATGGTACATGTACTGGTTGTAATGTTGGGATTTGATACATGATACACACTATGGCTGTAACCAGACTGACATGGTACATGTATTGGTTGTAAAGTTGGGATTTGATACATGATACACCATGGCTGTAAGCAGACTGACATGGTACATGTACTGGTTGTAAAAGTTGGGATTTGATACATGATACACACTTGGCTGGCTGTAACCAGACTGACATGGTACATGTATTGGTTGTAAAGTTGGGATTTGATACATGATACACACTATGGCTGTAACCAGACTGACATGGTACATGTACTGGTTGTAAAGTTGGGATTTGATACACTGATATACACTTGATACATGGCTGTAACCAGACTGACATGGTACATGTACTGGTTGTAAAGTTGGGATTTGATACATGATACACACTATGGCTGTAACCAGACCATGGTACATGACATTACGGTACATGTACTGGTTGTAAAGTTGGGATTTGATACATGATACACACTATGGCTGTAACCAGACTGACATGGTACATGTATTGGTTGTAAAGTTGGGATTTGATACATGATACACACTATGGCTGTAACCAGACTGACATGGTTCATGTACTGGTTGTAAAGTTGGGATTTGATACATGATACACACTTGGGCTGTAACCAGACTGACATGGTACATGTACTGGTTGTGAAGTTGGGATTTGATACATGATACACACTATGGCTGTAACCATACTGACATGGTACATGTACTGGTTGTAAAGTTGGGATTTGATACATGATACACACTATGGCTGTAACCAGACTGACATGGTACATGTATTGGTTGTAAAGTTGGGATTTGATACATGATACACACTATGGCTGTAAGCAGACTGACATGGTACATGTACTGGTTGTAAAGTTGGGATTTGATACATGATACACACTTGGGCTGTAACCAGACTGACATGGTACATGTACTGGTTGTAAAGTTGGGATTTGATACATGATACACATATACTTGGGCTGTAACCAGACTGACATGGTACATGTACTGGTTGTAAAGTTGGGATTTGATACATGATACACACTATGGCTGTAACCAGACTGACATGGTACATGTACTGGTTGTAAAGTTGGGATTTGATACATGATACACACTATGGCTGTAACCAGACTGACATGGTACATGTATTGGTTGTAAAGTTGGGATTTGATACATGATACACACTATGGCTGTAACCAGACTGACATGGTACATGTACTGGTTGTAAAGTTGGGATTTGATACATGATACACACTTGGGCTGTAACCAGACTGACATGGTACATGTACTGGTTGTAAAGTTGGGATTTGATACATGATACACACTTGGGCTGTAACCAGACTGACATGGTACATGTACTGGTTGTAATGTTGGGATTTGATACATGATACACACTTGGGCTGTAGCCAGACTGACATGGTACATGTACTGGTTGTAATGTTGGGATTTGATACATGATACACACTATGGCTGTAACCAGACTGACATGGTACATGTACTGGTTGTAAAGTTGGGATTTGATACATGATACACACTATGGCTGTAACCAGACTGACATGGTACATGTACTGGTTGTAAAGTTGGGATTTGATACATGATACACACTTGGGCTGTAACCAGACTGACATGGTACATGTACTGGTTGTAAAGTTGGGATTTGATACATGATACACACTTGGGCTGTAACCAGACTGACATGGTACATGTACTGGTTGTAATGTTGGGATTTGATACATGATACACACTTGGGCTGTAGCCAGACTGACATGGTACATGTACTGGTTGTAAAGTTGGGATTTGATACATGATACACACTATGGCTGTAAGCAGACTGACATGGTACATGTACTGGTTGTAATGTTGGGATTTGATACATGATACACACTATGGCTGTAAGCAGACTGACATGGTACATGTACTGGTTGTAATGTTGGGATTTGATACATGATACACACTATGGCTGTAAGCAGACTGACATGGTACATGTACTTGTGGTAAAGTTGGGATTTGATACATGAACATTCAATACCTCAAGTCATATTCCATTATGAATACAACTAAAACATAGTAGGTTGATTTAGGTTGAAGTGAAACAATAACTTGAGAACTTTTATATGAAAGTCCATACATTTTCACATGTGACCACTCCATGTGATGTAGATTTGTGTTTATACATCATGATACTATACTCTTATCATAGGACTGAATATCACAGTGTTCGATGATTGATTTCACCCCAAGTGAAGTACTGTCAATATTGCAGATCGAATCACGTTAATGTGCCTCGATGAGTTATTCATTATTTAGTTAACCCATGCTTGTCGTGAGAGGCAACTAATGGGATTGGGTGGTTGACACATGTCACCATATCCCAATTGCATAGAACGATGCTCATGCTGTTTATCACTGGATTGTCTGGTCCAGATTTGATTATTTACAGACCGCCGCCATATAGCTGGAATATTGCTGAGTGCAGTATTAAACAGCAATCAATCATTATTTAGTGCAATATTATTGTTACATGTGTGTTTAATAATCACACTGAGCATTCTAATAGTGTTCTCAAGCAGTGACTGGATTATGCACTACCTTTATATTCTACATTTAGAGATGATTGTCTGTTGTGATATTGATGTATCAGTAAATTGTTAATGTCAATGCTATATTGATACAAATTTGTGGATAGCAATGCTAAATCATTAGTTAATTTCCACAGATACATTTACATTTATTGTCCGTCTGTTTTGAAACATGGGGACTTTAAATTTGAATTACATCTTTATCAAAAAATGTGAAATTGTCAGACCATGATTTGTCATGGTGTGTGTCAATGATAAATATGGTGGGATTTTTAGAAACTGATAAAGGGACACTGCCCTCTTAGGACATTGCATGGGTAAGTATATGGGTTGAATGTTCAGCACAAAAAAGTGAACTCCAATTTTATCATGTTATGTCAATAAGATTTATGTTTTTCTTCAAGATGAAATATATGCCAACTTAAAGCAAGTTCACTGTTTTTCAGATGGGCTACTGAATCCTTCACATGTTACTTCATCGATACGGAGTTCGGCCAGTCAGGCCAGTATTGGACAGTCCAGCGTCCGGTTCCTAGCTGATGAAGATGGCATGGAAAAGTGCTTCTTGGTTGTCCGGGGGATGACATGTGCATCATGCGTCGCCACCATCGAGAAAAACATCATCAAAGTAGAAGGTATGTCTTCAGTGGTGTCAATGGTGTCCGTTGTGTCCGTGGCCAGTACTCCATTCTCAAATATTCTTTTACTTTTTGCCTCTTCATTTTTCTCTAAGTATGAACTTTGATTTATTGTACTTTGCCTAAACATTCCATCTTTCATCATTTAGTAAAATGACTACATGAAGCATACCAAATAATAGTAATTAAATTATCATGCAATAATGATGTGTGTACACTTGTAAACTAGTGTTGGGAATTGGTTCAAATCTCATAATTGATGATCAATCATCGAAAATAATTGGTTAGCGTCATTTATGAAATTTGTTAATGCACATAAAATAAGGAAAAAACCCATGTAGTTCTTTTAGGGTTTTTTCGCAAAATTTCACATCTTTAAAGGATGACTAGTATGTTGGGAACATAAATTTCTTGGAATCTTCAAGATAAATTCAATCATGACTTGAAACGAGATTGCAGTGCTTACGAAATGTAACAGACAAAACCAACAATGTGAAAAATATCGTTAATGAAAACAAGTGTTCCAGAATTGTTTGTGTTCGATTATGAGAAATTATGATCGATTGCTTGGTCAGTTAGTCACTACGACCAATCTTCGATTATTTCAATTAATCGGACCACCACTATTGTAAACACTACAGAGATGAAATGACTATGATACTCAGGTAGCTAATATGTCTCCCTCTGGTACAGGTGTGAAGAGTGTCCTGGTGGCGCTGATGGCTCAGAAAGCAGAGGTGAAGTACGACCCAGAGTATATCCTCCCATCTCAAATCGCCAACGCTATCAACGACTTGGGATTCTCAGCCACTGTGGTGGAGCAGGAAGGGGGATGGCCAGGGTGTGGTGGAACTCACTGTAAGTTATCAAGGGAAATACTCCGCCTTTTGATGTTCATACATATGTTTTGACTGTTATTTTATTCCTCTCTGGTTTTCTATTGTAAGTCTGGATTCTGATGAAGTCATGAACGTTTTTGTTCATAAAACGTATGTTTGTGAGAACTTATAATAAAATTGTTATCTTTGTAAAATTCATTGTCGTCAAGTGACACAGACAGAAATACTATCTTGAAGCACTTGCAGACAATAAAATTGTGTCAGGCTGGGTGTTTGGTAGTGAACAATGATGTAAATGTAATGATGATTTTGCTTTTAGATAACTGGAATGACGTGTTCCTCATGTGTTCACCTGATCGAGTCCAGTCTGAAGAAGAAACCAGGTATACTCTCGGCTACCGTTGCCCTCTCCACATCCACCGGCAAGTTCGTGTATGACACGGAGGCCACAGGGCCACGCACTATCATCGAAGCTGTTAAGGTTGGTAGTCAGATACAAATATATTCCCAGTTTGTTCGGTGAATTCAGGGTTTGTTTGTTTGGTACTTTTTAAACACGACACTCCACAACATTCCAGCTACAGTGGACTCTGTCAATACCGGCCTCTCTTAACACCGGCACTCTGTCTACATCGGCACAAAGTTTCAGTCCCGGCAGAAATGCACGTTATTATCATTTAGAAACTTCTGTAAACATCGGCATCTGTCTATTCAGGATATCGGCATTGTTTTTCAGTCCCAACGAACAAGTTGTTATGAAAACGAATCTGTAAAAACCGGCACATGAAAGACGGCGTAACCCTTTGATGCAATTAGGTCCAAATGATGTAACAACACAATTCGCTGTGACTCCCGAGATTATTCAGAAACGGAAACTGTTAATCAGTATCTTGTTAATCAGTGAGTGGTACGTAACACTTACCCAGAGTAATTAATACATGTAGTGGGCAGCTTGACTGTATAAACAAGCAAGTGTTTACATTTTGTTGATACGCGGGTATTGACTCGAGATTATTCAGAAACGAAGTGTCAATCAGTTTCTTGTTAATTAGTGAGTGGCACGGTCACTTACATAGAGGCTTAATCGCTTGATGGCGTGTATCGCTCAACGCTTCTGAACATCAACAATATCACTGTACTCTTGCCGAGAGTATTTTCACATTTGTAAGAAGCGATTTTATTGGATAAAGATTGGTTTCTAACGACGCTTTTCACTACACTCTGCTTGCTTATAATAATGGATTGGTCAAAATCAGACACCGGACCTAAGCAGCCAATCATATTATGGAAATGGATACCGCTCTCTCGAACGAAAACTTTTAGATTAAGACGAAAAGTTTTGGGGTAAAATAATGCTATTCTGAACATATTAAGAAAGACATCGCTACCTATAATGTAAATTATGGAACTTATTGGACATAGCGTGCTAGGTTATGGCCTATGACAAAAATGCTTCATGCATATATTTTCACATTAAGCATCGTGTGAAAGCCGAGATGTAACTTGTCAGTGACTTGACTTACATTGCATGATCCCACAAAAGTATGGAAATAGTAATTTTATATGTACGTTTGACAACTTTTATGAATGTTATTGTTGATTTCAATTTATTTAATGATTTCCTCGATGTTTGAAACATCGTTACTTTGCTCTTTGACAATGCTATTGTAGACCCGCTGCCCGAAGCATAAACAAGATTCGTTGTTTGCAATGACATTGCGAAAAATAGTTTATAATTTTAATTCTGCCGATAATATATGATCAGTTGAAATTCAATAAGAGATTTCAGACATTTTTATTTGATTTAAACAACATCAATGTGCATTCAGTCACTGCCTTGTTTCTTATTCAAACATTTTGTTAATGCTAAAGTGACAGTACGACAGCGAACTTCCGTGTGCGCAGGCGTCATAAGCGAACCTAGCTAAACCGGCACTCTGTCAAAACCGGCATTTTTTACTTGGTCCCGACTGATGCCGGTATTGACAGAGTACACTGTATATGATGGCTGGCAGTAAAGAATTTAATCTGCACCAGTGATTGTTTATCTGAGCAACAATAGTGCCATTGGGATGTGATGACCCACAATCAACCTGTCACCAATCTTTACCACCCGATCTATTCACTTTCTAAAACTAACAAGCATAGGTTGATGGGAACCATTATCTTAACCCAGAATCCCCAAGGGAAGTGAACTATGAATGATAGAGAAGACATATTCCTGTCTTAGTCAGCCTTACAATTCACTGTTGGTGGTGATTCCAGAATAATGTCCCAGAACAGGTCCCCACAACAGGTCTCCACAATAGATCCCCACAACAGGTCTCCACAATAGGTCCCCACAATAGGTCCCCACAACAGGTCTCCAATATTGGTCTCCACAACAGGTCTCCACTATAGGTCTCCACAACAGGTCTCCACTATAAGTCTCCACAATAGATCCCCACAACAAGTCTCCAATATAGGTCCCCACAACAGGTCTCCACAATAGATCTCCACTATAGGACGTCGTCATATGAGCGAAATATTCTCAAGCACGTCGTTCAACCCAATTTCACCTCACCTCACCTCAACTATAGGTCCCCACCACAGGTCCCCACAACAGATCTCTCATGCCTGTCATAAGAGCTGACTGAAAAGGGGACAAGCAGGGAGACTGTGTCTTGTCTCATCGTGTCTGGTGTGGGGAGCTTGTCATGCTGTCAACCACTTGTTCCAGGTGTATTTACACCACCATACTGTATCTGTAATACTGATGAGTGAGCCAAGAACAGCACACAAACTAATATATCCAAACAATATGTGATATTGTAATGGCATAATTTCCTATGGAACTGGTTGATAGTATTCTACATGGCTGATGCCATGCTGTCATTTCAGGCTCTTGGGTTTGATGCTTTTCTTCTGACCGATGATGACAGGAAGGCAGCCAGATATGACCACCGACATGACATCCGACGGTCAGTGTTGTTCAGAGTATCTCTAACCTCTTAAACTGCCCCCTAAACAAGCTTAAAACATGCTCAAACAAGCAATAGTCAGTCTATCTATATATTCACTCAATAATAGTTCCTTGAAGTGAATTTATTACCTCATATTGTCATTCTCCCTTTCGTTGTTGATGTAATACTTAATATCTCAATCTCTATGCCAAACAATGTGTAAGTCCCACTGAGAGACAGACTTGAACAGCCCCTGACCTGTGTTTAATCAACCTGTCACAGATGGCGCAACTCCTTCTTGTTGTCGCTGGTGTTTGGCATCCCCGCGATGACTGTGATGATGTACTTCATGTTCTCCAAGCCCAAGCATCATGCTGCTGTCATGGGAGCCAACGACTCAAATGCATCCACCACACCCATGCCGAAAAATTCTGATGGCCATTACCAGCTGATGATCATGCCTGGTTTGTCGGTGGAGAACTTACTTCTCTTCATCCTCGCAACGCCGGTTCAGGTAAGTTAAACCTGTATATTATCACTGTGATTGACATAACATGGGAACTTATAGCAGAGAGGATTATATGTTGTCTGCTCTGTCCACTTCTGTCCATGATCTAACCGGTACTGATCTTTTACCGGTCCGTTACTGGGCTGTTTTTGGTCGAATACCTCTGGACTACTTCTGTGAGTTGGATGCAGGGATGAACCTTTAACTGGAGAAAGACATCTGACAGCTAATGTCCATATAGTTTGTCAGAGAAATGAGAAATAAGTTACTATGAAATATGTTGAAGAATCTTACAGGTGTTGCATTGAAAGTATAAAGTTGAAATCTCTAAGCATGATCTTTCTTTAAGGCAACTAAATCCTCACAAATACCACTTAAAGATATTTTGGTGATAGATACATATTTTTTTTTATGGCATTCACTATGGACTGATTGGAAATACTTCCACTTTAATAGAGAGTTTTTGTTTTCAGTTTATTGGGGGTCGGTACTTCTACATACAAGCATACAAAGCACTAAAGCATCGAGCAACAAACATGGATGTCCTGGTTGTCCTAGCAACCACAATATCCTATACCTACTCTGTGATAGTCGTCATAGTTGCCATGGCACTGGAAGAATCAGTTAGTCCAGTGACGTTCTTCGAGACAACCCCAATGTTGATGGTGTTCATAGCTCTCGGCAGATGGTTGGAACACATAGCTAAGGTAAAAACACTGATCAGACTTAAGAATGAAAGGTAAGCAGTCATTACCTTAGTATTGAAGATTAACAACCAAGGGATGAATTGATCAGTACCTTCAAAGAACTTTGAGACTGCATGGATTACCTATTATCACGGGCTGCTTAATCTCCAAAAGAGGCCACCTTTATTCTGCTAATCTTTCACCACTGAAGTTTTTGAGAGGCCTTTCAAAGGAGCTTCAAACCAGTTTGATGGAAGAATTCATCCGATATATGCTTGGAAACAAAACCTGAACTTGTAGTATTTAGATGTAAAAGTGTCTTTTCAAGACAAGTGCATTTTTAACATAGCAGTTAAAAAATGTATCACGGTTTTCTTATTTTATTTAACCAAGGCCCGTTCAGTGAGAGATATCATACCCCAACATGGATGTCCATCTGAGCAAGGACAAATTTCTCAGCTTTAATTTATGATTTTGATCATTTTAATGTATACTTTTTATTCATACAACCAATGAATAGGAAGAGGTTGTAATGCTGAGTAATGCTGACCAGAAATTATTGAGAATTTTAGGAATATGTTTAATTGGATTTCTAGTATAAACAACCATGACCAGCTATCAAGTGCTTGGTTTCATTCAAGAGAGAGTTTGTGAAGAGTTATCCCCCTTTGTTTACTTGCTAGCAGACGACATTTTCAATGATCCTCAGTATGGATGATTTAGAGAAGAGGAAGTTGAGTTTAGAGTATTATAACAAGGACATCAGATCAGCTAAAGTGATTTCAAGTAGAACAGGCATCCCTTTGTCCACTGTTTATTGGTTTTGAGAAATATTGCAAATGGATATGGCACCAGGGAGGCGCAGGTAGACCCAGAAAATTGACTGTCGGTGACAGGAGGCAGCTTGGTATTCTTGTTTCTAAAAACAAACGAAGGAGTTTAGAAAACTTATGGCTGGATATGATTGATAGAGGAACTGTGGCTGTCTGTAAGAAGACAATTAGAACTGAGCTGCATGCAATGGGTTGGCAGAAAAGTCGAGGAATTCCATCACCGATCATGAAACCTGAATAAAAGGAGCGAAGGTTGAACTGGTGCTTACAGCATAGAAATTTGAACTGGGACAATGTGATTTTCTCAGATGAAAGTTCTGTGTGTCTATTTCCTAATACACTGAAAATCTGGACCAAACAAACTGAAAAACCTTTGTATCAGCGCCTAAGTACAGTCCAAAATTTAACGTGTGGGGTGGGATATCTGTGTTAGGGGCAACGCCCCTCTGTGTATTTGAAGGGAATATGAACAGTGAGCGGTACACAGATATTCTCGAGGGACATTTACTTCCATCTGCTCACGTGTTCTATGGAATTTTTTTGATTTTCCAGCAGGACAACGACCCAAAACATCGTTCAAAGCATTCACAGGCCAGGTTTCGGACCCAAAATATGACATTATTAGATTGGCCAAGCTATAGCCCTGCCCTAAATCCAATAGAAAATGTTTGGGGACTTATGAAGAAAGTGTCAATAAGAAAAATCTGACAAATATTGCTGAAATGAAAGAAGAGGTGGTCCGATATTGGGACAGCATGGACCACGACTTTCTAACTTCTTTGATCAGTAGTATGCCCCGCCGCATTGAAGCCTGCATTGCTGCCCATGGTGACTTGACAAAATACTAACTGTTCACCTGTCTTTGAATCTGGAGTTATGTTCTGCTAATATTCACATTTAATACGTTAGTAATGAGTGAAAAAAATTACAATCTTTAAATTCTCAATAATTTCTGGTTGTACTGTATGATGTCATACAATCCAAAATTGAAATACACGTTTTATGGATAAAAACTTTGTTCTTTAAAAGAAGTTTCAGAGCTAATTCTTGCTCCTTCATCAGGAAAGGATTTGTGGGTAACTGATCAATTAATAATTAAGAACATTGAAAATTGCATTCAAAAGTGGCATAACTTTCAAGAAAAGTGTGATAATTGTGTTGAAAATGACTACGAAGTGTTCAACTAGTGGTGAATTGCCTTGAAAATGACAACAAAGTGTTCACCTTATGGACTGTGAACATAGTAAAACCATGGTGACTATCTCCCACAGGGCAAGACAAGTGAGGCTCTTGCTAAGCTGTTGTCCCTCCAGGCATCAGAGGCCGTCCTGGTCGACCTGGACAAGGAGGGCAATGTCATCCGCGAGGAGACCATAGAGGTGGATCTTCTACACAGGGGAGATTATCTCAAGGTAAGTGCTGCATTAGCTGCTGGAGCTTCATCATGATGCAGGGATGGTTGGGTAGCCCAGTGGTTGAAGTGTTCATCATGCTCATCGTGCTGAAGACCTGAGTTTGATTTCACACATGGGTACAATGTGTGAAGCTCATTTATTTTTGTTCCCCCCCACACACACACACACACACACTATGCTCTCACTCACTCATCATGGTGCAAAGGTAAATGAATGGGAATGTTTTCATTTGATACAGCATCCAAATTTCCATGTAATTGTTGATATGTCTTCAAATTTTCTTAGCATATGAACCCCATTCCATTTTTTCCTAATTCCCAATTTGAGCAAATTGTGACATGAATTTTTTGTTTATTCAATAATGTTGTTAAATTTTTATGCAAGTAAAGAATTTTGTACCTGGAACATGTGAAAACAACAGGACAGTATAACATCTGACTACTGCGTTGTTATACAAGTTAAAACTTTCTCCATCCACATGAACATTAGTGACTGCAAACTCATTTACAATATTTTTCGTTAATTATCATATGCTGTATGAAACATATTGTTTAAGCCTCTGGTAATATATCCACGCGGTGAACCTGGTTATGTTTAATCCTAACCTACTGAACATTCAGACTGTGACTTTGTAGGTGGTTCCTGGAGAGAAGATTCCCGTAGACGCCCGAGTGATACAGGGTACTTCTACATGTGACGAATCTCTCATCACAGGGGAGAGCATGCCGGTTCCAAAGTCTGAAGGTGAGGATGGGATTACTGTTCTGGAGATAAAACATGGAGTCACTCTCTGCTTTCATTTCACACATTAATACACTTAGTATGTGTCTAGTGTTGTCAGGAGCCTGACACTGGACCCAGTAGGAGTAGCAAGGTAGAATATGATTAAAGTACTTCACACTTCAATGGTCAACTCATTGTAGAATTCAGCGTAGTGGTGTTAAATCTGCAAGTAAGATAGTTCACCATTAAAAAACATCATGTTTATCTCATTATTTTGAGCTTTGAGTGGACATTTGAACATTTTCAGATTATCGTTTCACATTGGTTGAATTGATTGCCGGTTGCTGGGCTGTTAATCAGAAAGTGCTCGAATGGTGCAACATTGTCATAACTATGGTCATGTATGACTGTTATAACACTCTCCATGCTACAATGATTTGAAAAAATGAGACCACCTGACACTGTAGTTAGTGGTATCCTACACTATCCATTTGATTTTCAGGGAACTCTGTGATTGGAGGTTCAATCAATCAACATGGGATGTTGATCATCGAGGCCACCCATGTCGGGGCAGACACAACCCTCTCACAGATTGTCAAACTGGTGGAGGAAGCACAGACTTCCAAGGTACAATCTTGTTTCTTCCTGTAGCAGTACAATCTATCTTCTTCATGTAGCACTATATTTTCTTTCTTGGCCACTATTTGTCAATGAAGATTTTGTAAACTATTATTTTCAATGTTTCACTTAAGGGTGATTTTATTACTGCCTCCAGGCCCCGATACAGAATCTAGCAGATAAGATAGCCGGCTACTTCGTCCCCATCGTGTGTACCCTGTCTACCATCACACTCATCTGCTGGGTCATCATCGGATATGTGGACATCCGAAACATAGATCCAGAGTTTATGGTGAGTTCCCACGTTCGACTCATTGCGTCATGTCTATACTGTAATATGTTCATCGGTCAGGCGAGTCAGCTCAACATTGGTATTTGTCCAGTGTTCTGTCATGTCATTCACGTGTGTTTCATTCAGAAAGTCAGTGTTTATGAAATATATGACAAGGTATAAAAAGTGCCGTTGTTGAGTATTAAATGCTTGATCGATGGTGATGGTGATGGTGATGATGTAGGAATCATGCCTGTATTCTTCATGATGATGTTGCAGGAGGATGGTCCTGTATTGAGGAGTGAGGTGATATTCCAGAAAGCATTCCAGTATGCTATCACAGTACTCAGTATAGCATGCCCCTGTGCCCTGGGTCTTGCCACGCCCACTGCAGTCATGGTGGGGACAGGTGTCGGCGCCACAAACGGTATCCTTATCAAGGGAGGCGAGCCACTGGAGACAACACACAAGGTACACTTAACAAAAAACAGGACATGTTTTGTAGTAGTCGGAATCTCATTGATACTAGTTGCCCAGTTGGTGATGATTATTTTGTGTGTGTTTATTCTGAAATTTAATATTTTTTAGGAAGGAAATTAGGTCACTAAGACAATCTGAATCATTTTGATCCTGAACAAATACAATAGTTGTGGATCATGTGATATCTAATCACAGAACATAAGTCACATTTACATGAATGTTTCCAAGATTCCAAACTTAAGTGGCCTCTTTAGGCAAATATGGAAACAGTCATTATTTAGATCCTAATTTGTGTGTTTTGTTGTTCTTATTCTCTTGAATTCAGAGGTATGATAACATAACGTTGCACCCTGCAGCAAATTAGGTAATTCCACTGGATTAATTATCTTCAGGTTAAGTGTGTCGTGTTTGACAAGACTGGAACGATCACAAAGGGCGTTCCCGAGGTTGCCCGAGTTTCGCTGTTCGTAAAGGAGAATGTCTGCTCCTTTGTCAAGCTACTGGCTATTGCCGGGACAGCAGAAAACAGCAGCGAGCATCCCATAGCTGCAGCCATTGTCAAATATGCTAAAAAGGTAAGACCTGTGTCAGAAGCATGAAATCAGAAATCCTTGTCATAACCCATGGTCCAGGAATCAAATATGTAGGGGTACCTCAAATTATAATACTATCTGAGCAACCCCAAGTGTCCTAGGAATACTTTTGTTTTCAAGGATACTAAACGATTTGTACCCACCAATAATGTCTTCGTACCAGATTTGGAGCTCTCATACTCTATTTGGCTGACTTGTATACAAATTTGGATAACCCCAATACAAATCAACTAGCCCTGGATGTTCTGTACACACATTTCATAAACCTTCACAACCTATATCACTTTCGACTTTAGATCTAAATTCCATGCACACATTGTGTGACGTGCTCACTTTTGTACCAGATGTTATATTTTACGATATTACTTTCTCAGTAAGTTACAGATTTGAGTTAGTGTCAGGGTTGAATTCCATCTGGGATTCGAACCCACTCCCTCAAAATGTGGAACCGAACTGCATGCACAGAAAGTCAACAGTATAACCCCGTCAGCCATTGCGACTTTCACTGAAATGGAAGTATGACTACTAGAATACATACTTTGTGTACCCCTCTAACAAGAGGAACTTAGCACAGCTTCCACTGACTACGGCTTGGAATATTCAGTGTCTTTCAGAAAGTTTTCATTTGACTTATGGGCTTACCAGTAAACCTTTTAACAGTCTTCAGATTTGATGTAACATGTGCTGATTGATTGAAAGACTAAGATTTTGAATGTGCAAATTAGGGTTCAGATGGAATATGTGTTGTCTGTTATTGATTTCTAGCTCATGACAGAGAGACCTTCTGCCATCAGTTAGTGATACCTGAGACGGAGATGGTTTGGACACTTCAGTAATGAAGCTGTACTTGTGACTGGGTTCAGTGTTTACAGAATCATAACGGGAATGCAGACATGGTAAACAAAACGACTCAAGATGTCTTCTGCCATATGACTCTATTGTTCAGTATAAGTGTTTTGTATGTTTGACAGACTTTGGCCACTGAGGCGCTGGGGAAGGTGACAGATTTCCAAGCGGTGCCAGGTTGTGGGCTCAAGTGTAAAGTGTCTCAGATAGAGACTCTCCTCAACAACGTTGACTTGGACGGTGTCAACAACCGCAAGAACCAGTTTGGGAGCATGCGCGCATCAAGATAGACAATGTTTCTGGGGAGAGCAGTGATAGCTTGCCGCTCCAGATTGAGGGTGAGCAGTTCACAAGCACTGACTAGATGCAAAATGTTGACACTAACATGAAATGGGATGGATGTAAGAAAAATGCTTAAATATGTATGTCTTGGAAGTGATCTGCACCTGCAGTCCACACATGCGTTGTCCGTCATGTACACAGTTGTTGACTTTCAATGCCTTCACTGGAGGAAGGGGCAAGGTTTCTGCCTTTGTCAATTGTTAGAAAAATTATACTTTCAGACCTTGTGGTTTAAAGCCCGTTATTGACTAAAAGGGGTATGTTTTGTTTAAAACCAAGATTGACAAATCAGATGATGTGTTTAAACTTTTAATGACGAGTTAGATATTGTGATTTAGAACTTGTAACTGACTGATGAAATTGTGTATTGTGTACAGATGTGATGCTGATGGGTGCTGCTTCCTCCAATCCGTATGAAGTCCTGATTGGGAACCGTGAGTGGATGAACAGGAACGGCCTGCTCGTGAGTGATGCTATGGACAGTGTGATGACGGAGCATGAGAACCAGGGGCACACGGCAGTACTCTGTGCTATCGATGGTAGGTCACTCCTGCTGGCAGTCAAGATGTAACTGACACGGTTAATGTCATGCCCTATTTAATGTGTCATGTGCATGATAATATCCCAGATCATGCTGATTCATCAAATCTGTTTTGGTTTACCCTAATTGTGGTATGAAAGGTCTGGTAACACTTCATCTGAATCTGTCGCAAGGTGTGGTAACTGTTTTTATGCATCAGTCGCCAGGTGTGGTAAGTGTTAATATGAATCGGTCTTGAGGCGTGGTAACTGTTTATATGCATCTGTCGCTAGGTGTGGCAACTGTTTATATGCATCTGTCGCAGGTGAGGTAACTGTTTATATGCATCAGTCGCCAGGCGTGATAACTGTTTATATGTGTCTGTTGCTAGGTGTAGTAACTGGTATATGTGTCTGTTTCTAGGTGTAGTAACTGTTTATATGTGTCTGTTGCTAGGTGTAGTAACTGTTTATATGCATCTGTTGCCAGGTGTGGTAACTGTTTATATAAATCGGTTGCCAGGTGTGGTAACTGTTTATGTGAATCGGTTCCTAGGTGTGGTAACTGTTTATATGGCTCGGATGCTCGGTGTGGTAACTGTTTATATGAATCGGTCGCTAGGTGTGGTAACTGTTTAATATGCGTCTGTTGCTAGGTGTGGTAACTGTTTAATATGCGTCTGTTGCTAGGTGTGGTAACTGTTTAATATGCATCTGTCACTAGGTGTATTAACTGTTTATATGAATTGGTCGCTAGGTGTGGTAACTGTTTAATATGCATCAGTCGCCAGGTGTGATAACTGTTTATATGTGTCTGTTGCTAGGTGTAGTAACTGTTATATGTGTCTGTTGCTAGGTGTAGTAACTGTTTATATGCATCTGTTGCTAGGTGTGGTAACTGTTTATATGGCTCGGTTGCCGGGTGTGATAACTGTTAATATGCGTCTGTTGCTAGGTGTGGTAACTGTTTAATATGCATCTGTTGCTAGGTGTGGTAACTGTTTAATATGCATCTGTTGCTAAGTGTGGTAACTGTTTATATGGCTCGGTTGCCGGGTGTGATAACTGTTAATATGCGTCTGTTGCTAGGTGTGGTAGCTGTTTAATATGCGTCTGTTGCTAGGTGTGGTAACTGTTTAATATGCATCTCTCACTAGGTGTATTAACTGTTTATATGAATCGGTCGCTAGGTGTGGTAACTGTTTATATGCGTCTATTGCTAGGTGTGGTAACTGTTTAATATGCATCTGTCACTAGGTGTATTAACTGTTTATATGAATCGGTCGCTAGGTGTGGTAACTGTTTAATATGCATCAGTCGCAAGGTGTGAAAACTGTTTACATGTGTCTGTTGCTAAGTGTAGTAACTGTTATATGTGACTGTTGCTAGGTGTAGTAACTGTTTATATGCATCTGTTGCTAGGTGTGGTAACTGTTTATATGAATCGGTCGCTAGGTGTGGTAACTGTTTAATATGCGTCTGTTGCTAGGTGTGGTAAAAGTTTAATATGCATCTGTCACTAGGTGTATTAACTGTTTATATGAATTGGTCGCTAGGTGTGGTAACTTTTTAATATACGTCTGTTGCTAGGTGTGGTAACTGTTTAATATGCATCTGTCACTAGGTGTATTAACTGTTTATGTGCATCTGTCGCCAGGTGTATTAACTGTTTATATGCATCTGTCACTAGGTGTGGTAACTGTTTATATGCATCTGTCACTAGGTGTGGTAACTGCGATGTTGGCTGTTGCTGATACAGTCAAGTCTGAAGCTCACCTGGCTGTGCATTGTCTGAAGGAGTTAGGCCTGCAGGTGATCCTCCTGACAGGAGATAACCAGAAGACGGCCAAGGCTATTGCTAAGCAGGTCAGTCTCTATAACAATGGATCTTTTGTGGTTTTGAAATACAATTCACTAATGTTATTGTTTAGGCTGGATACTGGAATCAATTGTTCTTTGGATCAAATTTATCATTACATTTTGGTTCATTTTCACTAAACAAAATTAAGCAGGAGACCAAATTTAATAGTTTACTCATTTTTGGTTAAAGTGTTAAAAAGTTCTGAATATATAGACTGGCAACAGATATATTTTAAATAAAGCTTTAATATTTTGGAGCCGTAAGTACATTCTGTATTTCATCAAGACTTTTTAATTATTATTCATGGTCTACATTCATTGTGATGTACATATGTACCCTGGACACATTCCCTACAAAAGGTTTGTCGCCAATATTGCTAACCCAGCTGGAAAACCAGTGAAACATCAGGGTTCTTGAGAGGCATATAGAAGTTGGTATTCAAGTATAAGACAAAATGTTATGGATGTCAACTTCTTCTTTATTGTATACACAACGTGCCATTGTATCAACCCTTACCAGATGAGCTAAATCCATCTGCAACCCTGACCATCTCCAAGCAGAAATAGACCATCTGAAAACCACATTCATCAACCTCAACGCCTATCCCAAACGTCTTGTGGACAGAACCATAGCATCGAAGAACACCAACCCAAGCCTGACCCATCCCTGATTAGAGTAAACATACCCTACCAAGGTCAGATCAGCCACCATATCAGCCGACTGCTCAAGAAAACAGCTGGATAGATGTGACCTTCAGCTTGGACAAAACGCTAAAAACCATTCTGAAGGCCAATGGTAGATGTACCTCAACCAACACCAGTCACAAGCCCAGGGGTTGCATCTACAAGCTAATGGCAGCATTGTGGCAGCAGCTATGTTGGAGCAACATCCCGCCCCATTGACATCAGGCTCAAAGAGCACAATACCTTGGAAGAGAAATTGGATCTAAAGTTAGCCCTTTCTGAACACATTGTGAACAGTCCATCACATTCCATTGTCTGGAAAGCAACAATTATCTTACCATCGAACATCCATGATTGGCGACGACGCAAGATTTCGGAGTCTATCAGCATCAAACGATTAACGCCACAGATGAACAGGGATCAAGGGGTTTACCTACCCAATGCCTGGGAAATCAATTAGGTCATGGCTTCACCAATCACCCCTTAATCCACTGTAACAGCATCAACCCTGCCTTTCGTATCTTATCCCAGCTTTTGTATATCATTAGACTATCAGCCACCCTTTTGTACACCAATTAGACTCATTGGCTTCTATCATTTACTCACTTAATCCACTGTAACAACACCACATCTGCCTTTGTATATTTTAGTCTCTTTCATTTTATATTCCCCTAAGTATTGTATATACATGCTTAAAATCACTCTGGCTTCATGTACATTACTAGTATATATATCATGTATATCTGTTATTTAGCATTCACCTGATGAAGGGGCAAGGAATAGCCCAGAAACGTTGTGTATACAATACAGAAGAAGTTGACATCCATAACATTTTGTCTAATACAGTGAGACATTATCATCAATGATATACTCTGAAAATAGCAACCCTTGTTACAATGAGCTTTCAGTATCAGGTGAAACATGTGAAATAGAATAAACTTAAAACTTAGAACTGTGATATTAATGCATCTCTCTCTTTTGATTGCTGAAACAATTATTGACTTGCAGAGATTACTACCCTCTACAGAGGTGTGTGTTACCAGTACTATGTGAGTTTTAGTGTGAAGTTTGGGGGCAAGTGGGTCCCAGGTATTGATGATAATGAAGAAAGGATACACTTGATAACTGACACTGGGCCGATATTCACTTTGACAGGTTGGAATAAGACGGGTGTTTGCTGAGGTGTTGCCATCACACAAGGTGAAGAAGGTGAAGATGTTACAGAAGGCAGGAATGAAAGTTGCGATGGTTGGTGATGGTGTCAATGACTCACCTGCGCTGGCACAAGCAAATGTTGGAATCGCCATCGGCACAGGCACCGATGTGGCAGTGGAGGCCGCAGACATTGTGCTCATCAAGGTCAGGGGCGTGGCTTTAACTGCTTGTAGTGCATAATATGTTTGATAATTTCTCATAGACAATATAGCAAATAGAATTCCATTGAATTGTTATTGTTCTTACATTCACCTTCTAAAAAATATGATTTTGATTAATGGGGAAAGTTACATATATGGCTCATGTTTTTGAGCAACCATCCTATTCTGAAGGTCGGAGAAGAGTTTTAGTCAGAGGGAAATGATTTTGCTCAAATCAATGCTCAAATGATTTCAAAATCCTTGTTTCATCTATTGATTCTTCTTATTTGTATAGAGAAATGTTGAAAATGTATTGTCCAAAAAATACACTAGACATCAAATGAATTCTTACTGCTGATAGAATTTTACTTAGCACTGCCTTATCTTTAGCTTTTTAAGCCTAGCCAATATGGACTGACACAACCCAGACACTTCAATCATAAGAGTTAAGGGAACCTTTTAAAATAAAAAACTGTACTCATTGTGAATTATATCATTTTTTCAATATTAAATCTGGCCAAAGTACACATGACCATCACAGGAATCTGAAGCTTTGATAGAATAATAAAAGCTTTGCATTTCTTTTGAATTTTAAACACCTTTTTTCGATACATGTGGGGGTTTGATAGCAAACAAGACATGAAATTTCCTTATCTACATTTGAACTTTACATTCCTGTCTGAACTTGTATGATCTTCACGTCCACAGAATGATCTGCTGGATGTCTACTATGCCATCAAGTTGTCCAGGATGACTGTCCGACGAATTCGGCTCAACTTTCTCTCAGCCTCCATTTACAACATTATTGGAATTCCTATTGCAGCAGGTAGGTTTGTTTTACTTGTTACTCAAGACTGTGAGGCATTCTGTGGCAAAGCATGTCTGAGCAGTAATTCAGTAGTTTCTAGCAGTGTCCAAGACTGGACAGAATAGGTCCACTGTACCTCGAATTTGTCTCAAATGACCATGACAGGGTAGAATAGACCCCGGTACTCAATACCTAATGCTTTTTTGCCCATGTGAAGTCTTTTTGTTTTTCAGACTCTTTGGAGTATATTAATTGTTTCACAATTTGACTTGTTCATGCAATCTGTGTTTGTACTTCAGGCATGTTTGTACCACTGGGTCTGTCTCTGAAGCCATGGATGGCATCTGCTGCCATGGCGATGTCGTCAGTATCAGTCGTCAGTGCCTCCCTGTTACTCAAACTGTGAGAATTTTTAGCTTATTGTCACCACAAAATTTATGTTATTTGAAAATATGTTTTGTTTTCACTAGTGATAGATCACAATATCTTCAGCGTTTATTGTGTCCTACCTCATCTAAATGATCCACTAATCCTTAACACCCATGAAGATCTGGGTTAGAATATTGATCTTCAGTAACCCATGCTTGTCATAAGAGGCGACTAACTGGATCGGGTGGTCAGACTCGCTGACTTGGTTGACACATGTCATCAGTTAGATGCGTAGATCGATGCACATGCTGTTGATCACTGGATTGTCTGGTCCAGACTCGATTACAGACTGCCGCCATATAACTGGAATATTGCTGAGTGCGGTGTAAAACTTAACTCACTCACTCACTAATCCTGAAATTAATTATATGTAAATTAAAGTCGAGTTTTAGGCTTCTTTATTTAGGCAGATGTATTATCAATGCTTGACAGTTTGTTGTACACTTCATTCCTCTATAACCAGCATACAATATTCACGATGTATAAGTGATTTGTCCAATCCTAGTATGCTTATGAAATGAGTTCCTGTGGTCCCCTGGGTTTTTAAGTGTATAGCCCATGTCAGTTCCTGATGTAATGTATATTTCAGATTCCACAAACCATCAAAAGAAAAGTTGTTGACCCAAGAATACTCCAAGCGCTACGCTGAAGACCAGGAATATGACAACATTTCCCTGCATCGCGGTCTTGACGAGGACAATCCCAGCCTCCGCAACAGCAAGCAGGGAAGCATTCTGTCGAAGCTGAGTAACTGGCGGGCCATCACGCCAGGGCCGGACAAGCGAAGCCTGCTGGATAATGATAATGCTGAGGATGAGATTGAAATGGAAGAGACTGTGTAGATTAAACAGGTCCCAGACACACAAAATCATATCTTTAATACATATTTGTAGTAGTTTAATATTGTGTCGCATTGTGGAGTCAGTACAATAATTGTTTGGCCAGATTAAGTTTTATCTTGTTCTTGGTAGTCCACATAAAATGGTCATAGACTTGTCATTTCACCTGATGAGTGGCAGTCCACAATGAAATGTCTCTATTGTTTCTTGATGTTTGTCTGGTCTCAGACTACAGAACCGTATTTTGTTTGGACTTGAGCCTGGAAGAAGCTAGTGTCATGACTTAAGAATGTCTTGTTAACTGTTTATTCAGGAAATACTTGTAAGAAGGCTTTGAATGTCACATCTGAAAATAGGAAGTGTTTACAAAATTTTATTGAACTCTTTCTGCTCAACAGCAAATGCATCTGTGATCATGTTATTGTTTGTCATTTTATGATTTCTTAGAATCATTTGGGGCGATGGGGTAGCCTAGTGGTTAAAGCGTTTGCAATGGGTACAATGTGTGACGCCCATTTCTGGTGTTCCCCCCCATGATAAGGCCGTGATAAGACAAAAAAGTTTCCTTGTTTTTTTTTATTGGGTCGACCCTGTAGTATTGCAAAGAAATTCTTTAAATTGGATCAGTTTAAAAATATACAAATTCAATTGTGTGCCATATAATTCTTGTGTTCTTTATGGTAAAATGTCTTGAAATATCATTGCATCATTCAAAGGAACACACGTGTAAGTAAATCACATATTGTCGAGCGACCTAATCTGTAATAGAACCTAAGGATGTAGGCCATTAAACATTTAATTATCAATACATTATTTATGATCACAGTTACTTTTGCTTTAAGAATCCCCTAATTATCTTAGTCTGACAGGTTAGTAGCTTGTTCGGCAATCAACTGTCCATGTGCAGCGGCCATTTTGGACACCTGAGCCCCTCTAGGTCCCTTTCATGACAACCATCTGAGCAGGACACTGCCACTTCCAGGAAATAAAATATAACCAAACAATTATTTACAAATGACCTCTTTTGGTACTTATCCACAGATAGTAAGTATTTTTAAGTAATCTTATTGACTATAAAGGTTACAAATATTGCACACAGAGGATATAATTTTTTATAACTTTTTATGTACACTAGCTTTCTTAACATTTTACGCCATGTTTATAACAGGTAAGGAAATCCAATATGATACTGTATGGTTGTAAAATTCCACGTGTTTGATGAATTTTGCAAACTGGCCAGTTACTTTACAAAATGATAAACATAAACGAAGTCTTTGTTTGACAAGTAAGTTTGATTGAGCAGATCTTACTTAACTTTTGGACGATGCTTCCATTATTCCATATGGGATCTTAGACTGATTGCTTTCAGATTTTGCCATACAAAATGTATTTGATATTACCCTAGAATTAGTTTTGTACTAGTAGTATCTCAGTATCCCAGTATCCCTATCAAGGCTGGGTACGTAGTTTATGTTGAGTAATGAACATCATGATAACCAGACAGTAGATCATCATGCTGATATATTTGACCAGTGTGTTACATTTGTTTAAGCATAACTTGTTGCATGGAACTACTTTCCACACAACTTGTATGGTAGATCATAGCATATGTAGCTAATTTGTTTATATCTACTCTACTACTGGTCTACAACCCTGTACAGTATATCTATTTTCTGCTAACTTGCAGCTCGTTTTACATTTTAACCATTCAAAGAAATGAAACAAAAAAGTCTCCTTTTCAATTGTGTTGATATACGCTGACTTTGCCAGTGATCAGTTTCAGTACTTGTAATGTTTCTATCCAATTTTACGATTCTATGTGGAATGTGATTTTGTGGATTTTAGCTGCCACATTAACAGGGATTTTAACGAAATTTGAACCAGAAACTTAAAAGAGTTGAACCTGAATATATCCTAAGAATAGTAAATGTTATAAGGAATATTTCAAGACAAATGTGGTCAGATACGTTGTGAGAAGTCAAAATGTGTGTTGTTTATAGTTGTTACACCTGTTTGATAACTTGACACAAGCGAAGTGGAACAAATGTTGCAATTTCTACAAATTTCATCACCATGAACGATTTGGGTAAATAAGTTCGTAGTGTGTTTTATCATATGTTATCTGAAGGAATATATTTGTGTGTCCTTGACCGTGAAATTCACACATGACTCTTTTAAGATGAAGACATTGTTTGTGGGAAAATTGAGCCTTTGGAAGACAGATGTTTTGAGATTGTCACACCAATTCATGTTTGTTATTTCATAATTATGTCATGCATAATATATGCATCATTAAGCTTAACACTAATAATTATCAAATTGTTTCACCACCAAGTGCTATGTTGACTGTATGTTTTACAAAGTATACTTTACAAATTTTGAATTGTACATTTCTGGTATTTTTTGAATGTGAATTTTGTCACCTCTTTAATTAGAAGTTCATGATTAGTGGTCAGTGAGATGTTTCAGTTTTATTCAATATTTAACCCTCTTTCAAGAATGAATATGGTTCTACAGTAAAGGCAATAACTGTTCTAGTGTTTCTACACAGTAAATCTAATGATCAGTCTGTTGATGAGTTTGTTAAAATATTTATGGCAGACTAGTCATGTTTACCGGCTTTTCTTTCCCTTGAAGCATTATTCAAGGAAAAGGCACGTTACTCTCCCAACATTCTAGATGTCCCCGTAAGCACTTTCTTAACAAATTGGCTCTCAGTTTCAGATACTTATTCCAAGAAGTCATTTGACCAATTTACACATAATTTCTTATAGATGTTGCATGTAGCTTTGGATGTGAACTTGGCAATTTCAAGATGTCCTTTAAAATGGCCTGTATTTTGTTGTTAAAATATGTATGGTACAGAAAGATAAGCGCTCATTGTGATATTGTGATATGAACCTGTTTAGAGGTTAAACCATGTTATGACCTATGGGGACATGTTGTCCCTTCCTGTCAGGTACTATAGCTACTGTCATACACTGAAGTTTGTTGTTTTATGACTGGGTGAAAAGTCTTCAATGTAGCATGGTTTTAGACTGAAACCGGCGTAAATTCATTTGGCTTGTATCATTTTTCACAAGTACTCTCTGAACTGGCATCATTAGGGACCAGAGCTCCAAACTGGCATCATTAGGGACCAGAGCTCCAAACTGGCATCATTAGGGACCAGAGCTCCAAACTGGCATCATTAGGGATAAGAGCTCCAAACTGGCATCATGGAACAAGTTCTAATAACAGGCATCGTTTCAAACCAGTACCCTCTATACTCACATCATTTGGGAGCAGTACTTTCAACACAGGCATCATTTGGGACCAGTACATTCAACACAGGCATCATTTGGGACCATAATTTGGTCTAAGGTCATGAACATGCTGGTTTGATGAGAGTATGAGATTCAAAGAATTACAGATTCTATCCCAACTAAATGATTTCAGTGGAATGACTCTAGGTCATTCTGTAGCTTGCTGTTATCATTTTAAGCATAAATTGAATTCTCATAGTTGTTGATTAATTAACCTGAAGATGGAACGTTATCAGTTGGTAACATCAACAACAGATGCTGTCTTCTCACTGGTCTCTGCAATGAAGCTGTGTGTCATTACATTCTCAAAATTGATTTTGCTTCTTCATGAATTGTCTGGAAACAAATATGCAAATAACTGTTTCTGCACTGTGAGAATCCTGATGACAAATATATAAGATTAAGTTAAAATCTTGTATTAGGGAACTCTCAGTTATGCTCTGTATATACTTGATGTCCATGGTTGCCCTAGAGACGTCACTGTGAGGTGCATGAAAACCAAACAGATATATTGATATTACAACCAAAAGGTAATTGTCCAGTTTCTGGAGAGTTCACTCCAGGGCAAGAAGCTCATGTCAGTTGATATTCCCGAAGTCCTTTACTGTTTTTATGAATATTTTTAGATTCCTGTATTCAATGTCAGAATACGCAGTTGTATTGAGTTGTGTTCACTATGAGCTGCTTCAGTGGACTGTGATCAATTAAGGAAGTCCAAGGCTTGAGTACTTGTAGTCCAAACAAGTATTGATTAAATCATTCAAAGCGTAAACTCATATCTGTATTAGGTGTCAATTTGATAGCCAGTAAGATACCAACTATTTCATATTCAGGGTATTTTGCTTGAGGATTATTTTATCAGTCTGCTTTTCAAGTCCTTCAATATTTGTATGTGAATCTCGAAAAAAGGATGACCTGTCAGAATAGTCCAGTGAACATGCGTACATGTATTTGACATGAAGTGAACATGAGAGTCACTTTGTACATTTGCTTTTGAATCAAAGATTCTCACAAGCTTTCTTGGAGTTCCAGCTCCAACTGATAATGTCACTTATGTTTAACCTTGATGTTCAATGCTGACATAAACCTTTAACATTGAAAGATACAACTGTCACATTATTATTTTGAGCAAAAGACATGTTCACAAAGTACTATGATATTTCCTGAATATTGAAATGGACAAAAGCAGATAAAAAAGGTTTGATGCAATTGTGGTTTTATGTAAAATTATACCCCACAAAACAACTAATTTTGATATTACTTTTATCACCAAATGTTTTTTACAGAATTTAACCATTTTTGTCAAATTTAATTGTCTATGTTGTCCTCTACAGCATGATTTAGCTGTGTTGTCATCAAGGATCTGTGTTGCCACAGTGGTGTCATGTGAACCAGATTTGATATATTTTTAATGTCACATGTCCTACATCAGAATATTTTACTCACAGGCTCTGCTTACGAATGTTAAAATGATGAACAGATAAAAAATCACACTGCATTTGTTCCTGTTGATTAAATGAATCAGCTATCATAGTATTGCAGATATCTGAATCATCTGTCACATGTTTAGGGTCAGTGATAACCTGTGTTTGACACATAATGATATCCAAGGTCAATTGACATAGCTCCCTACTCCACGCCAGCCTACTCCAGCTCAAACCAAATTCTGCCAACCAATAGTGGTGTCTTTTAGTTATGCCATGATTTAGGGAATACTGTTGGTAAAAACAGCTAGAACCTATCTGCACCAGAAATGCAAAACCGAGAAGTGGAATCAATATGGAGTCCACTGTTCCAAGTCCTAACCAAACTGTGCATCAGTGAGTCCAGGTTTTCACAGATGTATTTGGACTCGCCTTGGCTCTTTCATTGACTGACTTGTAACCTATCAGCTCCAGATGTGTGTCATCATACATTGAGGAAATGCTCTGGATGCCAATAATGCTACATTTCAGGACCTATTTAAGTTCCTTTCTCATCATTCTGAAGTCCCTGGTTCAGTTCCTCATCCTGTTCCTCCAGGTGTGACATTGTTGGAATGTTGATACAGTGGTGTAAAGATCACTAAATCATTCTTTGAAGCATGCTAATGTTAATATTTCCAGTATCACAAGCAGTTTCCTTGTAGAATTGAAAAGATGATGGTTACATTGTTTCTCAAGCTTATAATCCTCCTTGTCATCACCATCCACAAACTCTGTCCTTGGTGAGCTTGAAGAACTTGCCTTGCCCATCTCCTTGTCCACGCATTCTGTTGCAGGAGTACCTATATAAACTTAGTTATATAAGGTGTTGAAGTTTGGTGACATGGTTCAATGTGTACCATCGTATATACCCCGTATCTCCCAACACATTAACCGCTGGTTTGTCTGGCCTTGGTTGATTGATTTACAAGAAATTGTGACCAAGTTGAAACATTGTTGAAAGAGGTTTTAAAACTGCAGTTTGATCACCCAGTCCGATACATTTGTGTCCATTTATTCTCAGCTTACATGCATTTGGCAGAGTCTGTAAACACAATGCCCTCAGCCTCCTTGAGAAGATTGTCGACCTCCTCCGGTCCCCCAAGCTGCTTGCTCAGCCAGTCTCTGGCTTTGTTGACCACCATCTCCCACACAGGCCGTTCCTCTGGGCATTTCAAGGTCAACCAACAAATAGCCAGACTGGTAGCCCATACCTTTTCTTCCTGGAATATGAAGGTCATGAAAGATAAATAAAGCAAGAAAATAAGTGTCTATGGAAAATGAAGGTCATGAAAGATAAGTAAAACAACAAAATAAGTGTCTATTCACTCATTACACGTGCTCATTAGCTGTGAACGTCATTAAATGTATTGGTTCATCAGTGTAAGGTTATGCATTCTAGAACCCAAGCGAACGAATGTTTCAACTGAGTAGTATGACCACGCCAAGGGTCTTCTTAAGTTGTTGAAAAACATCATTACCACTGAAAGCGTTTTTACAGGTAGTGTGTCCTCGGTGGTATCCACAACGGCAGCAAACTCTGGTGTCAACGACCAGGAACCGTCGTACTCCTGCAACGCCACCATAGTGCTTGCCTTAGCTGCAACTGAAGACATGTACTGTTTTGTACAAAAGCCAGGTTGGCAGGAAGCACGTTCAATGATCGTGAAGTAAACCCTTTTCTTCTGCAGGTAGAATCGGTCTGTGGGCCTAGGTGTAAAGTGTCGGCTCGATTCCCATGGTTACAGTGTCCAATGACCATTCCTTGTGTCTACGTGTGCTAAGAGCAACGCCTACTCACTTTGGCTGTAAATATATATGTTAGACATGCATTTACCTGTAGAAATAGGTGTGGCCGTCACGTCGTCATGGTCACCGACGCTGAATGTCACATCTTCTACTCCACATGTACTTCTGTTCTCCAAGCCTTCATCCATACTCTTTGTTCTCGGTGATGGGAACATCCAAGAAAAGCAAGAACATCGTGGAAGACAGTTTTTGGATATGGGTCTTGTCGGGCTGCTGGAATCTCTAGTTTGGTGACCTCCATAAACATCCATGTTATCTCTGTCGCGGACACAAACCGGATCTTTGTGTTGGGAGAACCTCACATCAAGTTCCCGGGATAAAGTGCTTCTTGTCCTGGAGATGAAATGTGCAAAAAACACCCTCAAAATTGTATTTTACATAGGCCTAGTCTGGAACCATATTCCAGTCTTCTTTGACGGTCGAAGTGGTCTTTGACGCCTGTCACACCTGAGAGAGGCCTCTTTGCTGAGCGAATGGTGGAGGTTTGTACAACTGGGACACATGTATCCCATTATGGATACTGAAAACAACTTGTGTTTTTTGTATTGTCTAATCAATCATTATAATTCAAGTAGTTAAAAAAAAGACAGTCGAATTTGCATTTTGACAAAAATGTAGTTCCAAATCTCATGAAGCTGAATCCAAAGAACTAACAAACAAAAGAGAGAGTAATGGCCTTTTTCAACCACAAATCTATTTTCAAATTGTAATTTCCGTTGCTAGATACACTAAATAACTTCTTATTGTTAAACTCAGCTTGTCGTTGTTCACATGACCTTGATGACTTGTTAAAAACATACACAACCCCGATCTACATTTTTTTAATCAACCAAAAAAGGCATGATGAAAAGGATGTTTCGGATCTCCGTGGCTTTTTTATCGTCAAGAGTGTGATTTTAAGTCCTTTCTAGCAATAGTCCAGCAACCTCATGGCTGGGGACGTGGTATGGGATTCACAAATTGTACCCATGTGGGGAATCAACCTCGTGGAATTCGGCGTGACTACCGAACGCATTACCAACTGAACTGGAAGACTAAACTTTACACCCTACTGTGTTTTTTTTGTAAAACCAGGGGCAAAAGTGTTTCCCTGTCATTTTCTGGAACAATTGTTGTACCATGTAAAACTGCTCATGTTCAACGTTAAAGACCATGCATTCACAAGGCTATTAATTTTGTAGGTGAAAAATACATACTAGCATTTTGGCTTAGAGATTTCTGGGTGAGAAAATACATACTGGCATTTGATTTCTGGGTTGAACATTTGCCATCTTGGTAATAGTCTTTCTGTCTTGACCGCTGGATGTAATTTCTCATTCTTTGCAGTATCCATGGCAACAAACTGTATAACCTTTCTGATCGGCTCATATATTCTTTCACTCATCTCTGGATCAATGCCAACGAACGACGTGTATTTTGAAATGATGTTACCCGCAACACTCGCGACGATTATCTCCCTTTTCCTGTTGGCGCCACAGTCTGGAACACAATCGACAGTGTTGGAGAGTGGCATTGCTTATACCACAGTGGGTAAGCTTAATGTTGGGAAACGTACAAAGGAGGAAATAACACAGTTCCTGTAATATTCAGCTCTAATATTCTCTCTGGCCTGTGGTAAGAGGCGACTAGGGTTCAGGGCTAGGCTCGCTGACTTGGTTGATGAATGTCATCGTAAAACAACTGCGTAGATCGATGCCCCTTGTTTCAATCATTGGATTGTCTGGTCCAGACTCGATTATTTACAGACTGCCGCCATATAGCTGGAATATTGCTGAGTGTTAAACAACAAACTGTCAAAAAACTCTGATCTCATTTATCCACATTTCACCTGAATGTTACATTCCGATACCCAATATCTGTGATCCTTCATCCTGTTGTTAGGGTTAATTACCAGAATACTTCACTTAGTGGAGGCCGAAGACTACATTGTGCCTGAATCAAGAGAGCACCAGAAACCAACGATGGTTTGGGAGCTCCTGCATGTCATTCGTCATCAAACTGGTTTAGGAAATAGTGTGCTATCGTCACGGCCAAACACATCTTTGAAAGTGCTTCACAAACAACTTGGGAAGAAGAGCTATTTTCACGTGTCTTGAGGTGGGATGCTTTAAAGTACCTGAAGCCCTACATCCCCATCTCAAGAGGGATTTGTCCATGTACGGACATGATGCTTACAATGAAAGGAACGAGTCTAATTTGGAATTTTAATCCGTAATCGCCATGATCGGATCCTGGAAACCGGATCCAGCTGTGTTATAAGCTTTGGTCATTTAAAACACCTCGGTAGACGACAAGGGTGACAGTGATAGGGGTATGCATGACGGACAGACCTGAACCCGTTACCTGTCTCTTGATCTTCCAGATCGTCAACAATGGTTTTCATAGCCCGCCTGTGGACAAAGTGTCCTGGCGTCATCACAGCGTCGCCGATGACGTCAAACGTCATTGTGTGGGTGAACGTTTTCCCGCCAATGTTACCCGACATCGTGGCTTTCCCAACAGTTGACGTGTCAGACGACATCTGTAAACATAGCTATCTCATTCTATCATCCAGGCAGTCCATAGCTTACGTTCAGTCTAACTTGAGACACTCACAGCGATTCTCTAACCATCAACAAATCTTTCATACGTTTCATTTTTTCGAATTTCATGAAGTCAAGACTGCACGTACTATGTACACTAGTACACTGTACTACAGTTAAAAAATTCTTAGAAGTTACGCTCGGAAGTTCTGATCAGAAACAATCCAGAAGATAAATATTTACTAGTGTCTACTGATGAATGAAATATATACAAGGACAAGGTCACCCAAAGGTTACCAAAGTGTATTGCATCCTATATTTATATCCCTACCTCGCCTGTTAAGAAGCCATAGAAGGTACACCTCTGGCCGCTGAATATATCGGGCATGTCTTGGGGTATTCTATGAGCCACTGCAAGGCCAGCCGGAAGCTGGAAGTCGATGACCAGGTCAGTCACTGCGGGCTGCATTGCTTGTTTCAGTAGTTTCATCACCTGGGCACAGAGTAAACAGGTTTAGTGGAGCTGGCGTCGACCTTGACAGCTCTTAGCGGCTCTAATGACAAATTGTTTCTCTGATCACAGTGTGATTACACATAAGCTCAGGCCTCCACAGGATTGTCAGACATTATAACATGGGATAACTGCTGGTTTAAAAATAATATTAACATTGTTCTTTAAACAAGTTGAGGTAACATTACTTTTAATATTGTCCCGGTAGAGATCACATCACAGCAGATGGAAAGGGGGGAAAATATTCGGATCTGACGTGTCTTGTGTCTGTAATTTTTGTAATGCTGTGCGAACATTTTCAGATGTGTTACCTACCTTTTCTTGCAGATTGTCACTCCCGGTAACCAGCTCCACCTGGCCACGCCCGGCCCTGGCTATGTTCCTCACCAGCGGCAGGGACACCGCGTCCCCAATACCTACCGTGAACACCCTGAGACGAAAATAAAAATATACTTAGGTTAAGGATAGGACATAACATAATTAAAGACTATAAAAGTCGTACAGAGCTACAGTCACTACAATATGCCTGAAACGATAACACACGTCTTACTGCAATACCTGATAATCAGAGATACTTGCCTGTTCTCTGGGGCATTCCTCCTTACGAGTGAAACAATGTCAGCGATGTTGAAGACATCGCCATCAGTCAACAGAAACATCTGGAAAGTAACCACAGTTATTCCCATCTCCATCACATCATATGTCACTGCCACCTATAGATAATCAGTTAGGTGAGGTAAACGAACATCCATCTACCCGGTTAAGTATAGGACCCTAGCGGCATCAGCGAATAGGTGGATTGGGTGGTCAGGTTTGATCACTTGGTACACTTCGTAGGTACTGTTCATTATATCACTGATGTTTCTGGTTGACACTCGGTCACTGATGTCAGGTAACTGGAATGCTTGTGCGGCCTCAACCATTAAACAACACAAGGCGAAAACAAAAATAACACTGATAGGGAAAGAAATGCAGTGGCGATTCTCAAAGTGTTCAGTCAAAACAATACAAATTGTCAATTCTGTTTCTGTTTCGTTATCCACAATTACACCAACTTATGTCGGTGTTCATTGCAGGATTCATCACTTCAGTTATCGACAGAATGGATAAGGTATGGGTGAAATTATCGGATGATTTCACTGGAGAGTTTTAAAGCAAGGATAATGTATGATTTCACTGGAGGTGTCTAGACCTCGCTTGTTACCTGTCGTGTATAGCCTGGTTGGGGTTACCTGTCGTGTATAGCCTGGTCGAGTTTACCTGTCGTGTATAGCCTGGTCGAGGTTACCAGTCGTGTATAGCCTGGTCGAGGTTACCTGTCGTGTATAGCCTGGTTGAGGTTACCTGTCGTGTATAGCCTGGTTGAGGTTACCTGCCCTGTATAGCCTGGTCGAGGTTACCTGTCGTAGCCTGGTTGAGGTTACCTGTCGTGTATAGCCTGGTCGAGGTTACCTGCCCTGTATAGCCTGGTCGAGGTTACCTGGTCGTGTATAGCCTGGTAGCCTGGTTATAGAGGTTACCTGTCGTGTATATAGCCTGGTTACCTGTCGTAGGTACCTGCCCTGCCCTGGTTAATGTTACCTGTCGTGTATAGCCTGGTTGATGTTACCTGTCGTGTATAGCCTGGTCGAGGTTACCTGTCGTATAGCCTGGTTGATTATGTCGGTACCTGTCGTGTTATGGATATAGCCTGGTTGATGTTACCTGTCGTGTATAGCCTGGTCGAGGTTACCCGTCGTGCATAGCCTGGTCGAGGGTTACCTGTCGTGTCGTATAGCCTGGTCGAGGTTACCTGTCGTGTATAGCCTGGTCGAGGTTACCTGTCGTGTATAGCCTGGTCGAGGTTACCTGTCGTGTATAGCCTGGTTGAGGTTACCTGTCGTGTATAGCCTGGTCGAGGTTACCTGTCGTGTATAGCCTGGTTGATGTTACCTGTCGTGTATAGCCTGGTTGATGTTACCTGTCGTGTATAGCCTGGTCGAGGTTACCTGTCGTGTAGCCTAGCCTGGTTGGTCGGGGTTACCTGTCGTGTATAGCCTAGTTGTGGTAACCTGTAGTGTATAGCCTGGTCGAGATTACCTGTCGGGTATAGCCTTGTCGAAATTACAGGACGTGTATAACCTGGTCGAGGTTACCTGTCGTGTATAGCCTGGTTGAGGGTACCTGCCCTGTATAGCCTGGTTGAGGTTACCTGTCGTGTATAGCCTGGTTGATGTTACCTGTCGTGTATATCCTGGTTGAGGTTACCTGTCGTGTATAGCCTGGTCGAGGTTACATGTCGTGTATAGCCTGGTTGATGTTACCTGTCGTGTATAGCCTGGTTGATGTTACCTGTCGTGTAGGTTAACTATCGTAGCCTGGTTGAGCCTGGTTGATGTTACCGGTGGTATATTAGGTTACCTGTCGTGTATAGCCTGGTTGATGTTACCTGTCGTGTATAGCCTGGTTGATGTTACCTGTCGTGTATAGCCTGGTCGAGGTTACCTGTCGTGTATAGCCTGGTCGAGGTTACCTGTCGTGTATAGCCTGGTTGAGGTTACCTGTCGTGTATAGCCTGGTCGAGGTTACCTGTCGTGTATAGCCTGGTCGATTACCTGTTACCTGTCGTTATAGCCTGGTTGATGTTACAGGGCGTGTATAGCCTGGTTGAGGTTACCTGTCGTGTATAGCCTGGTTGAGGTTACCTGTCGTGTATAGCCTGGTCGAGGTTACCTGTCGTGTATAGCCTGGTTGATGTTACCTGTCCTGTATAGCCTGGTTGATGTTACCTGTCCTGTATAGCCTGGTCGAGGTTACCTGTCGTGTATAGCCTGGTTGAGGTTTCCCGCCGTACACCAGACTGAGGGGTTTCAGCAGCTCCGTCCCGACCATGTTAGCCGTCAGAGTCGCTTGAAGTTCCATCGCCTTCTGTAGAGATGACGGCCCATATCGTACACTCCTAGTGCCCCAAGTACAGTACGTCATTAACTGACCATTTCTCAACAGTCACGTAGAGTTATACATGTTTGCTTGTTGTTTAATAATGCCGTTCTCAGAAAAACTATGATCCAGCAATACGACGAAGGCCTGTTATAATCGGGCCTGGACTAAAATGTCTGGAAGTGCTGCGAGAGAGTTTCAGAACCTACCACCTCATCCATTTTGCCGCTTCTTTCGACAAACAGGAGTTGAAGGGTACCCAGTGTAACCCTTTATGACAAATGGTTATTCAAAAATATATGTTCACTACGTTTAAAAAGAGGAGTCGGTTCAGTATGCGGTGTCTGGGTTGGGTGTTAATGTGTAACTTCGGGCAAGGTATGACAGTGTGCTTGCAGCTGAAAGCAGCACATGGCTAGACTGGCACAAGCAGCCACACGTACGCACGCACACACACACGTGCATGCAGGTGTATTATTCCTGAACTCGTAGTTTTACCTCGCCTCACCTGATTCCAATTCACGTCCTTGGGTTCTTTAAACGAGCCCAGATAGCGCTTGGAAAGTAATAACACAATGTTTCAGTTATTGATACATTCAAATAACAGATCTATTGCCTCCGAGTAATCCCTATTCCACAGAACCAGTAGCCCCGTTCCTTTGTTAAACTATTGGATTACGATCTTGTTAGCGGTAAGGTCGCTTTGTGGACGGGATCCCCATCTAGACGAATCTACAGTCACGAGTAACAATTTGACAATTCGACGAATATAAAAGATATAATTTTCTTTCATACGTTCTTAAAGTTCTTCTTGGCCTTTTATTATCTTTTGTAATTCTTTCACGAGCAGTCACATGGTGCCTAGATGGTATTCATGGCTGATAGTGTAATTACGTAAACACAGAACTCACTGGGGGAACAGAGCCTCACAGGAACTCCCAAAGCTGATGACGTTGAAGTAGCTGCCCACAGGGAGACTCTTCAGGAAGAACAGCAGGGTCTCTTGGGCGTTCAGCATAGGTTCCCCATGCATACTTGCTGTGAGTTGGACGGCATCTTGTTAGCAATATTCCAGCACTTTCACAGTGTCTGACATCAGAAATGGTCTAAACACAGACTGAGTGTATTCAGGTGATCCTGGGCCGTTGTGTGACGATCGAACGCCTTAAACACCAACTCATCATACAAAATGTGCTGGTTTCCTTAGATCAGACTTTACGAGAAAGTTACGAATCAGTCAAAAATATACCATCTTACACTAATAATTAATGATACGCCATCGCAATACATTTGCATAGAAAAATACTCCTTAAGCTTATTTTCTGCTTTTGTGCGTGTGTAAAACACAGTAAAAGATACAAAAGGGTGATAAACTTAAATAGAATTAAACAATTCCCAACCGTTTACCTGATGTGCATACATATAAGATGATTTGTCAGTAACGTGTTTTACCTGACCGGTCGATGATAAAGATGAACTCTGACTTCACGAGTTCGGTAGTGATGCTGAGATCTGGGTAGAACGACAGCATGAGGATGTCCATCTCTAGGAGGGACCCTGGGCAATCTGAGGATACAAGTGTCCACATTCGTCTCTTAAGATAGTGGTGAGTGACTTCGATTAATGTCACCTTGAAAAAACTTTCAACTCTCAAACACCAAGAAACATGATCCCGGCGAACCAGGATTCGAACCCCGACCACAGAGTTCTGGCATGCCCCAGGGATGCAACTCCAAGTTTATGTTGTATGGTCATTCTTGAAGGATTTGTTGTCAAACACCACACAAACTAACATTCCAGGTAAACAACGGCATCAAATACAAAACCGAGTTCGACAAATACATGTATACGTAATTCTCGACATCTGATTTAAGGTAAAGATATATTCAGAAATATTTGACTGATTTTGATCCAAATGCCAATTTTATTAACATTATGAAAACACATAATGATTGTATCATAAGAGATGTCAGTATTTTCCTGTATCATGTACTTCAGCGCATTAGAAATGTTCCTCTTACGCAGCATGTGCACTAAACTATCTATATCATATGCAAATGACTGTATGATGGGCCTGTGGCCTTTTACTGAATAAACTTGTCTGTCTGTCTGTAATTCTCGACAAGCGAGGTCACATGACACCTGCTTTGTTTACTGGTGATACAGGCAGGGTTAGGTTAACGATGAGTTCCCTACACCAGAAAGATCAATTTTAATTATCGGACAAGTCCCGCATTTCTTGGAGACGACCTACTAATGTGATCTACCTGTTCTACCCTTCTCCAGCGTGGCTTGTGGTCTGTGGGTATCCCTGTACAATACGCTGAATGACAGACTGTGATCAGGTGTAAACTCTTCGGCAAGACCAATCTGTGAAATAGAATAATATCATGAATATAGTGTTAGCTGTTTAAGGTATTATTTTCGTGTTCTGTTTTCTTTGATTTTGTTGTTGTTGTTGTTGTTTGTTTCGCAGCCGTCAGCGGTAAACGTTGATTGATGTTAGGAGCAAGGATTCACGGCGTGGGGTTCATGTTGCTGGAATTATTTACTTACCTGTAATCTCCGCGAGGTACATTACCGTGCGATCACAATTTGGAAATATGCAGATGGTAATTCGTGGGTACGTTTTGATGGATATGGATATTTTAATTGTTAAATAATCGGTTCTTCTGAAAAAGTTTGGCTTCAAAGAAAATCACGAATCTCAGCTTACTGTGACCCAGTCTCAGGTGCAAATGCAAATACCTCATTACCATTTGCATCTACGTGTTGTTCAATGTACTTCCGCATTGTTAGGATACAGACACAAGAGGTGTCACAATGGTCCAAGTGTAATACCATGTACCTGTTGACAGTGAGTTGGGGGCAGAGGTGTGCTCTGTATTTGTGTCATACTTAGACAGAGTTCTAGAGACTTTCCCCATGTTCTGACCCAGGGAGTTGGACAATCCTTTCTTACTAGGTATATGAGGGCCCTATCTCTTGCATCTGAAGCGACAAGAAGATCAGCCGTGTGTGTGATGATTATTGTACCTTGGAGACTCTCTGCCTGGCCCTCTCTTGTATATGTTACAGTCAGATTGTGAAATCAGACATGTGAAATGACTAAGAAGGTCAGCCATTTCGCGAAATGACTAAAATGAAATGACTAAGTATATTGAGTCATTACATGAAATGACTGAAGTATATTGATTGTTGTTACACAAAATGACTAAGCTGTTTAGTCAGATTGTGTAATCCAGTGGGTGGGTGGCTGCTGGTAGTGTGGCTTGCGAGAGACGCCATCCCTGGTAGTGTGGCAAAGCCAAGCATCAGTTGAAAGGGACAAATGGCGACATAAAAGACATGCTGGTAGTGTGGCTGAGTGATAACAAGACTAAGACATGCTGGTAAATAACAAGACTGGACATGCTGGTGTGGGCATAACAAGATTTGTCAGATTTGTCAATTTGTATTGATTTGAACTTATTTAATATCATAATGCAATTGTTACATTTCTTAAGTTTATTGTTGGATGGTTTCACGCTGTTCTGTTATGGACTGATTCCATGTAAAGTCTTTAGTTTAGTTTTAACTGGGGAATCAATAATCTTCAGCAAACCATGTGGATGAATATGACAATTTTCTTGAATATAACGTTCTCATGTCTATTGTGTTCTTTGAACGTCATTGTTCAGGCAGATATTGATCTCTGGTGCAAGCCGATGTGGCGTTATATAGTGTGTGAGCTATAAGACGTGCCACTGTAAACAGTGTTTGGGCCACATCACCACATCTTGTCATCTGATATGGGAGGACCGCCTGAAACATGCCCATCTCTAGGTTGTGTTAAAACTCTGGTGAAACATAGAAACATGTTTATGGTCGTTGCAAACCAATGGTTGTAATCAATGATTAAACATTGGATTCAAACCAACGAACAGCGGAACCCGATACTATCAATTTACCTAACCTTTCTTCACATCGTCACACAACCTGGATTTGTTCTGTAGATAATCGTAATTAGCATTTTGGGTTGACCGACATCATGAAACATTCACCTACCGTCATCGTATTGCAGTCTTCAGGCATCACAGTGGTGACAAGTTTGTCAGTATTTGACCACACTTCAGAAATTCCATGTTTTGAAACAACTGTTGCCTCGAAGTCTAGCATATACTGACAACTGTTTCTTGCGAAGAGGTCAAACCTAGTTTCTTTGTCGTCACCTGCAATACAAGAATATTTGAATAATCTAGGATTCTATTCCACGGCTCGTTAATACCGTACCTTAGCTTGTGGGGTTGACCGAGGTGTCTGACAAACATCCCCTAGGTCTTGTACGCTGACACGCCGTGATGTGAAAAACCGTCCAAAGCATCCCTCACACAAGCAAATTGAGATCACAGTTGTTCGGCTTTTACTGAACAGGCTCCCTGGAACATTATCTAGGACAATAAATTCGGAATGATATCTTGGACTGTACCCTCAGAATAGTAATTAAGATTGTACCTTTGGGATAATATCTAAAATTGTATCTTCAGGAACATATTTTTGTTTGTACCTTCAGAATAATATCTTGGGTTGAGAACCGTTGGCAGAACAAACTTGAGAGACCCATCAGTCTTCTGGACCAGTTCAGTGACGAAGGAAAACTGGAGTTTGGCGTCCGAGTTTGAGGGGAGATTACCCAGCTTGCATCTGAAGATGTCTCTTGAAGAACAATCTTCCTCCATCAGAACACTAGTCATACCTCTAGCCGTGGCCTCCTCGTAGGTTAACTCTGCCTGAAATTTGTAGACCAAGATATGTACGACGAATAAATAGCCCTTCGAAACACAGGCGATTCAAATGCGCACAAGTATATTAATACACGATTTCTCTCGAAAAACGGGTTTAAAGACTTAGAACTGCAAATCAATACAGCTGTTTGATCAACTAGCTACGCCAAATGACATTACAACATATCTTACGCCATACTGAAACGTGCTTTCGTAAATATGAGACGTCCAGGCCAGAACATAATCACTGTACAATGACTGTCGAGACAGGATCTAGAGGGAGTGAGTTTAGTTTTACGCCGCACTCAGCAATATTCCGGCTATATGGCGGCGGTCTGTAAATAATCGAGTATGGACCAGACAATCCAGTGATTAACAACATGAGCATCGATCTGCGCAATTGGGAACCGATGATATGTGTCAACCAAGCCAGCGAGCCTGACCACCTGATCTCTTTAGTCGCCTCTTACGACAAGCATGGGTTATTGAAGGCTCATTCTAACCGGGACCTTCACGGGTCGGGTCTAGAGGGAAACACTGGGGATTAAGTAAATGGATGGAGCAGTGGTGATACCAGGTGTTCGCCAAAAGGTAAGCATGGTCTACCTACCTATTTTATAGTATTGAATTATATACTAGTTACAACAAAGAAAGACCGTTCTCCTCACCTGTACTTTTTCCTGGATTTCTGCCTTAATCTTCCTCCCGTCCATTTCGGCCTCACATTTGTAGACGGCGCCGTTGTCGTCAACATGATACACAAAGACCACATCCACAGCTGTAGATCCGGCGTTGTGGTACGTGAGGGAGGCGTCGACGTTGGCCAGGAATCCGTGGACCGTCACCGACACGTCCACCCGCTCCAGCGGGACTGGAACACAACGTGAGAGTGTTATGAATATCAGCTGGATGACAATAACCTGAACGTAACCGAGTGTAGGGTGGGTAGCCTAGTGGTTAAAGCGTTTGCTCACCACGTCAAAAACCCGAGATCGATTACCAACATGGGTACAACGGGAGATGCTCATTTCTGGCTTTCCCTGCCGTGATAGTGATCCGATGAGCCACGTCGTTGACAATGGCCCCTGTAAGTGTCATGTCAGTCATGAGAGCCACGTCGTTGACAACGGCCCCTGTAAGTGTCATGTCAGTCATGAGAGCCACGTCGTTGACAACGGCCCCTGTAAGTGTCATGTCAGTCATGAGAGCCACGTCGTTGACAATGGCCCCTGTAAGTGTCATGTCAGTCATGAGAGCCACGTCGTTGACAACGGCCCCTGTAAGTGTCATGTCAGTCATGAGAGCCACGTCGATGACAACGGCCCCTGTAAGTGTGATGTCAGTCATGAGAGCCACGTCGAGGACAACGGCCCCTGTAAGTGTGATGTCAGTCATGAGAGCCACGTCCCTGACAATGAGAGGCCCCTGTAAGTGTCATGTCAGTCATGAGAGCCACGTCGTTGACAATGGCCCCTGTAAGTGTGATGTCAGTCATGAGAGCCACGTCGCTGACAATGGCCCCTGTAAGTGTCATGTCAGTCATGAGAGCCACGTCGTTGACAATGGCCCCTGTATGTCAGTCATGAGATTGTGTCGTCGTTGATGTCATGTCATGATGAGAGCCACGTCGTTGACAACGGCCCTGTAAGTGTGATGTCAGTCATGAGAGCCACGTCGTTGACAATGGCCCCTGTAAGTGTGATGTCAGTCATGAGAGCCACGTCGTTGACAATGGCCCCTGTAAGTGTCATGTCAGTCATGAGAGCCACGTCACGCCTGTCAGTTGACAACGGCCCCTGTAAGTGTCATGTCAGTCATGAGAGCCACGTCGTTGACAACGGCCCCTGTAAGTGTCATGTCAGTCATGAGAGTCCAACGTCGTTGACAATGAGCCCGTTGACAATGGCCCCTAAGTGTCATGTCAGTCATGAGAGCCACGTCGTTGACAATGGCCCCTGTAAGTGTCATGTCAGTCATGAGAGCCACGTCGTTGACAATGGCCCCTGTAAGTGTCATGTCAGTCATGAGAGCCACAATGTCGTTGACAATGGAGCCCGTCTGTAAGTGTGATGTCAGTCATGAGAGCCACGTCGTTGACAATGGCCCTGTAAGTGTCATGTCAGTCATGAGAGCCACGTCGTTGACAATGGCCCTGTAAGTGTCATGTCAGTCATGAGAGCCACGTCGTTGACAATGGCCCCTGTAAGTGTCATGTCAGTCATGAGAGCCACGTCGTTGACAATGGCCCTGTAAGTGTCATGTCAGTCATGAGAGCCACGTCGCTTGACAATGGCCCCTGTAAGCGTGTCATGTCAGTCATGAGAGCCACGTCGTTGACAATGGCCCCTGTAAGTGTCATGTCAGTCATGAGAGCCACGTCGTTGACAATGGCCCCTGTAAGTGTCATGTCAGTCATGAGAGCCACGTCCTTGACAATGGCCCCTGTAAGTGTGATGTCAGTCATGAGAGCCACATCGTTGACAACGGCCCCTGTAAGTGTCATGTCAGTCATGAGAGCCACGTCGTTGACAACGGCCCCTGTAAGTGTCATGTCAGTCATGAGAGCCACGTCGCTGACAACGGCCCTGTAAGTGTCATGTCAGTCATGAGAGCCACGTCGTTGACAACGGCCCCTGTAAGTGTGATGTCAGTCATGAGAGCCACGTCGTTGACAACGGCCCCTGTAAGTGTGATGTCAGTCATGAGAGCCACGTCGTTGACAATGGCCCCTGTAAGTGTCATGTCAGTCATGAGAGCCACGTCGTTGACAACGGCCCCTGTAAGTGTCATGTCAGTCATGAGAGCCACGTCGTTGACAACGGCCCCTGTAAGTGTCATGTCAGTCATGAGAGCCACGTCGTTGACAATGGCCCCTGTAAGTGTCATGTCAGTCATGAGAGCCACGTCGTTGACAATGGCCCCTGTAAGTGTCATGTCAGTCATGAGAGCCACGTCGTTGACAATGGCCCCTGTAAGTGTCATGTCAGTCATGAGAGTCAGTCATGAGAGCCACGTCGTTGACAATGGCCCTGTAAGTGTCATGTCAGTCATGAGAGCCACGTCGTTGACAACGGCCCCTGTAAGTGTCATGTCAGTCATGAGAGCCACGTCGCTGACAATGGCCCCTGTAAGTGTCATGTCAGTCATGAGAGCCACGTCGTTGACAATGGCCCCTGTAAGTGTCATGTCAGTCATGAGAGCCACGTCGTTGACAACGGCCCCTGTAAGTGTCATGTCAGTCATGAGAGCCACGTCGTTGACAACGGCCCCTGTAAGTGTCATGTCAGTCATGAGAGCCACGTCGTTGACAATGACCCCTGTACGTGTCATGTCAGTCATGAGAGCCACGTCGTTGACAACGGCCCCTGTAAGTGTCATGTCAGTCATGAGAGCCACGTCGTTGACAATGGCCCCTGTAAGTGTCATGTCAGTCATGAGAGCCACGTCCTTGACAATGGCCCCTGTAAGTGTCATGTCAGTCATGAGAGCCACGTCGTTGACAACGGCCCCTGTAAGTGTGATGTCAGTCATGAGAGCCACGTCGTTGACAATGGCCCCTGTAAGTGTCATGTCAGTCATGAGAGCCACGTCGTTGACAATGGCCCCTGTAAGTGTCATGTCAGTCATGAGAGCCACGTCGTTGACAACGGCCCCTGTAAGTGTCATGTCAGTCATGAGAGCCACGTCGTTGACAATGGCCCCTGTAAGTGTCATGTCAGTCATGAGAGCCACGTCATTGACAACGGCCCCTGTAAGTGTGTGATGTCAGTCATGAGAGCCACGTCGTTGACAATGGCCCTGTAAGTGTGATGTCAGTCATGAGAGCCACGTCGAAGACAATGGCCCCTGTAAGTGTCATGTCAGTCATGAGAGGCACATTGTTGACAACGGCCCCTCTAAGTGTGATGTCAGTCATGAGAGCTACGTCGTTGACAACGGCCCCTGTAAGTGTCATGTCAGTCATGAGAGCCACGTCGTTGACAATGGCCCCTGTAAGTGTCATGTCAGTCATGAGAGCCACGTCGTTGACAATGGCCCCTGTAAGTGTGATGTCAGTCATGAGAGCCACGTCGTTGACAACGGCCCCTGTATGTGTGATGACAGTCATGAGAGCCACGCCGTTAACAATGACCCCTGTAAGTGTCATGTCAGTCATGAGAGCCACGTCGTTGACAATGGCCCCTGTAAGTGTCATGTCAGTCATGAGAGCCACGTCGTTGACAACGGCCCTGTCGGTCATGAGTGTGATGTCCTGTCATGTCAGAGAGCCACGTCGTTGACAATGGCCCCTGTAAGTGTCATGTCAGTCATGAGAGCCACGTCGTTGACAACGGCCCCTGTAAGTGTCATGTCAGTCATGAGAGCCACATCGTTGACAATGGCCCCTGTAAGTGTCATGTGTCATGAGAGCCACGTCGTTGTCATGAGAGCCACGTCGTTGACAATGGCCCCTGTAAGTGTCAAGTCATGTCATGTCAGTCATGAGAGCCACGTCGTTGACATTGACAACAGTCATGAGAGCCTGGCCCTGTAAGTGTCATGTCAGTCATGAGAGCCACGTCGTTGACAATGGCCCCTGTAAGTGTGATGTCAGTCATGAGAGCCACGTCGTTGACAATGGCCCCTGTAAGTGTGTCATGTCAGTCATGAGAGCCACGTCGTTGACAACGGCCCCTGTAAGTGTGATGTCAGTCATGAGAGCCACGTCGTTGACAACGGCCCCCTGTAAGTGTCATGTCAGTCATGAGAGCCACGTCGTTGACAATGGCCCTGTAAGTGTCATGTCAGTCATGAGAGCCACGTCGTTGACAACGGCCCTGTAAGTGTGATGTCAGTCATGAGAGCCACGTCGTTGACAATGGCCCCTGTAAGTGTCATGTCAGTCATGAGAGCCACGTCGTTGACAATGGCCCTGTAAGTGTCATGTCAGTCATGAGAGCCACGTCGTTGACAATGGCCCTGTAAGTGTCATGTCAGTCATGAGAGCCACGTCGTTGACAATGGCCCCTGTAAGTGTCATGTCAGTCATGAGAGCCACGTCGAGGACAACGGCCCCTGTAAGTGTCATGTCAGTCATGAGAGCCACGTCGTTGACAACGGCCCCTGTAAGTGTCATGTCAGTCATGAGAGCCACGTCGTTGACAATGGCCCCTGTAAGTGTCATGTCAGTCATGAGAGCCACGTCGTTGACAATGGCCCCTGTAAGTGTCATGTCAGTCATGAGAGCCACGTCGTTGACAACGGCCCCTGTAAGTGTCATGTCAGTCATGAGAGCCACGTCGTTGACAATGGCCCCTGTAAGTGTCATGTCAGGTCATGAGAGCCACGTCATGAGAGCCACGTCGTTGACAATGGCCCCTGTAAGTGTCATGTCAGTCATGAGAGCCACGTCGTTGACAACGACCCCTGTAAGTGTCATGTCAGTCATGAGAGCCACGTCCGTTGACAACGGCCCCTGTAAGTGTCATGTCAGTCATGAGAGCCACGTCGTTGACAATGGCCCCTGTAAGTGTCATGTCAGTCATGAGAGCCACGTCGTTGACAATGGCCCCTGTAAGTGTCATGTCAGTCATGAGAGCCACGTCGTTGACAATGGCCCCTGTAAGTGTCATGTCAGTCATGAGAGCCACGTCGTTGACAATGGCCCCTGTAAGTGTCATGTCAGTCATGAGAGCCACATCGTTGACAATGGCCCCTGTAAGTGTGATGTCAGTCATGAGAGCCACGTCGTTGACAATGGCCCCTGTAAGTGTCATGTCAGTCATGAGAGCCACGTCGTTGACAATGGCCCCTGTAAGTGTCATGTCAGTCATGAGAGAGCCACGCGCGTTTGACAATGGCCCCTGTAAGTGTCATGTCAGTCATGAGAGCCACGTCCTTGACGATGGCCCTGTAAGTGTCATGT